GCAGATTGCGGATGTCAAAAATTTTATGAAACCACATGTTTGCCAAGTGCAAACTGAGATTTTTTTGATCAAACAAAAATACATGACATTAGAGCCATGATATTTCAGAAAAAGTAGGACTTTTCCAGCCCTGGATTATGTGAAGATCTTGCCAACACATTGCTCCTTGAATGCCTTTAGGCTTTACATGTGTTTTTGGCAAGAAATCTTGAAGATTTAGGTATTTCTGGCAGCAAATCCTGGATAATACTGTACCGTAAAATGGGGTAACTTAGACCGGCGGGGTAACTTGGACCACTTTTCATTTTTTTAACAAAAACCCCCACAACTCAAAAACTATTTGACATAGAAAAATTTTGTCAATGGGCATTAAAGGCCTAATACTGAGGCTACATAACACTGTAGAAAGATTTGAAAAGTTTGCATATCTAATAGGTTAAAAAATTAAAAATGTGACCCATGAAAAAAAGCTATTATTTAAAGCCTGTCAGAGTACCCCCTCCAATTTTTTATTTTTTGGTTAAATAACTCCAGGTTTTGATGCATTGTATAAAGACTATGAGAGGCAGGAGCCAGCAATTTATGGTGAGTGAAGCTAGAGTATAGACCTGTATTATGCATGTTTCAATTCAAGTTTAATTTAGCTAGTAAAAAAATGGCATCATTTATAAAAAAAAAGTGGTCTAAGTTACCCCATTTTACGGTAGGCATTTACAGAAAAATTGATTTTTTTTCTATAATCAATAGTACTTTTTTCTAAGTATTGACGAAATAAAAAAAAGACTTATATTGGAATTGATACAAAAAGTGAACCAAGAGTTGCCAATCAAGGGGCACGTGACCATCTTTTTTTCCATTTGTAGAAATGAGTTCAAGCTAGTGCAATTACTCTAATTAAAGTCAAACAATTGATGATGATGTACAAGTCAGCTTATCTCTGCAGAACTCTGGAATTTGGAGAGCATGCACAAAAAATTGTTTTATCTATTTATAATTGCCTGTTTCATTACCAAAGCATAATGAAACAATATTTTCTGATGCACTTCATAGAAGCACTAACAAAGTGGAGTTGAATGAAAGAAATGTTGAAAAACAAGATTGCATGGTTATAAATTGAGATTCTTTAGTTTATTTTCAAACATGAGTTGACCAAATTAAGATGTCAGTTGAGGAAAGAGAGCAGTACAAAGTGCCTACCCTGCCATAAGACAAAATCTGTTGCTTCACAATTTTGTTGGTTGTATTGCTCTGCCCTCTGTTTTTGTGCACCCTTATACACTGACAAAACTTTGAGCCTAAAAATATTTTCATGGCAACACAATTGCCAAATCCTGTGCAGCGGCCACAAGATTCCTAAATTATCAAAAGCCTTTCACTCATTTTGTAGCTACAAGATTTCAGTACCATCAAACAGGATAATAGGGGTTTGGTGGGGTAAATTGGAAGTGTTGTTGTTGTTGTTTGTTGCACTGTCATGCTCGCCTGGGAGGAGGCTCTGCTAGTGGGCAGGGGGCCGGCACCGGAAGAAGGGGTAGATGGGCAAAGGCAGGGAGGGTGGCCAGGAAAGCCGCTGTCTCCACGGGGTTGTCCCACAGTGAGGAGACGCTGAGAGACGTCTCAGCAGAACAGACCTCCATCATGGCATAAAAATGTTATAGCAGCAAAACTAATTTAAACATTGCAAAACAAAAAATACTAGCATTAACTTCCATATTTTTCTTATTGATGTAGCACAATGGAAGTTGAGAAATCATACATTTACTACTTACTAGCTCTAAAAAATTCCAGAGAAAAATGTTAAAAATTATATTTTGGAAAAGTACATCTGCTAAGGTCTGTTGCTAAAAAAAATGGATCGGTACTCACTGCATTGAGTGACTCATTGCATTTTCTTGTCCGTCTATGAAGTCACAGACATACTGTTGCCATGTGTCTCCCGCGGGTGAGGCAAACACGTTGCCTACTTCTACTTGATAGGTTGGCAACAACCTACTTGGGCAGTGGATAATGATGAGACTAAACTTGATCTTTTATTATGGACAAATAGAAAAGAATTCTAATTACAGTTCAAGTAAATGGCTCTTGGTTATGAAATGAACACGTCTGGTGCATAAGTGACTGAGAATGTCAGTGTATACCTAAGCAGTACCTAAGCATGCTCCTATAGGACTAAGGAGCATAGGAGCATGAAACTAACAAGAATAGGAGCATGAAACTAACAAGAATAGGAGCATGGACAAGATGCATATGTGATCTGCCATAAAAGAAATTAAAACTTATTAATCTTATGCATCATAGCCCTAAGACTATAAGATAAAGAATTGGATTAAATATGAACAAGCTTTAAATTAACAAGCAGAAAAATGGTAATAATCAAGAACCATTATGATGATATCAAACTTGTATGGCAGCAAACAGCTTAATGAAGAATTAATGAACACCAAAATATATAGCTTGCAGAATTTATACACACTGAACACAATTAATAGAAAATAAGAAATAAAGCAAATCGCAAAGTATAAACAATTTGTAATATAACATCAATTAAGTAATAAAATGAATATATGCAATAAACAATCACTCACTTCCTCTCAAGTGGTACTTCCTCTCAAGTGGTGAGTTAGCTTAACTTCCATACTGGTGCAGTTATTAATTATTCATTGAGATTTTGCATCAGGATTATGCTTGGCTTGGAATTTACTTTACATAAATGATTTTCACTTCCTTGTCTGGACTAGAGAGAGAAAAGAAAGGAAAAGTACATAATAAGTTACATAATGCAAAAACACAGCACAGACATCAAATAAACAAGCATGATAGCCAAAGGGTTGGGCTAAAAAGCAATACAGCACCCCCTGCAACAATACAGACAGACAGATGGATGAACATGATGAGCACAATGGCACTTTTTTTCCCATAAATGAGAATATGTGCCAGAAAGATTTAATGTATTAGAAAATTTTGAAAAAAAAATTGCAGACATGTGTTGGCTTTGAAATTTTATAGATGGAATTTGTGTACCTCAATCCAAAACAAAATTACAGCCATTTTCACAAGACAGAGTATTATGAGACACCCCTAAAATTGCATTTACACCAGAACCTTGGTTAGCAAAGGCTCTGGTCAATGAAAAAATTGGTAACTAACAAATTTTTTATTTGTCTACCTAAGCAGAAAAAATCATTTAAAAAAATTGATGCATCATCAGTCATCAAAAAATTGTGCATAGAATGTCATTGATAGAATTGTGCTCTGGGCAACATAGAGTGAAAGGTGACTAACCTGAACTATGATTTATTTCTCCCTAACATGATGGTTGTCAATAAAATATTCCTTTCTGTTTAATGTACGTTTTTGTTATAGTTAATTAATTCACTTGAAATGGTGCAGAATTACAAGCCCTGTCACATATGCTTATAGAGGAAATGCTATACAGCTGCTGATATGAAGCTTGCAGTGGACAAGGTTATCAATGATATGGAAGGTTTTTTTGGAGGGGGGGGTTTTTTAAAGTGTCACAGATTACCCCATTCCCAGGGGTAGTTCAGGACGCATTTTTTTGCTTCTGGCACCTTATGAATAGCATATGGAATTTTTTTTGAGATGCCTTACATTATCGTAATCAGTTGATGAAGCAAGTTTTTAACCATGATACTAGCTAGCAACTACCATGGCCTCACCTACAGTTCTTCACAGGCTAGAGATGCTAAAGTGAATACGATGAGGGCCCGAAATGCCATTTTGCCATTTTTCCAGAGTACTTAGTTTTTAAGTCAGCTCACACAGATGTAAGAGTGCGCCAGAGCGCTACATCATACATGATGTAAATCATACATGATCTGTGATTGGTTGAAGCTTGTTGGCAGGCTGCCCCAAGCAATGTGGGTGATGTGGGCAGCCTTTTTTTACTCCTTATTAATTACCATATATGGTAACTTACTCGTGAAAGGGTTAATTAGCATGTCTCATAATAGTGTTCATCTTTTTTTGTGTTGCACTATTAGCAAATACTAATCATAGGTAGATTCTGCAACATTGGTACATTCTAAGATGGTAATTGTGCAGCATTTTGTCACACAATACTGGTATGTCAAAAGTATGAGTAACTTTTTGATCGAACAATTCAGTGACACGGTTTCTGGGAACTCTTAACAAACGTGTCACACAATAACCATACTTATCAATAGACAACAATATCTATATATATGTATAATGTAGGTACATATACACATAACTAAGTTTAAACCACTGTGCAAAAATCAATTGAATATCTCATTATTCTTTTTTGTACAACAGCATCAATAAATATATCTTCTGAAGACTGGATGTTGTATTTCCATGTAAATGCCTTGTTAAGAACTTGTCTGACAACAAAAATTCATGTCTGAGATAGCTCTGGCAACAAATTCTTTGTACTACTTTAGTACTGGTTACAATTTAGGTCTAGAAATTCTTGGCATTGTCTCACAATTTGTAATGGCTAGTGGCTCGGCTAGTGTGCAATGGCTCTGCTAGTGTGCAATGGCCCTGCTAGTGTGCAATGGCTCGGCTAGTGTGCAATGGCTCTGCTAGTGTGCAATGGCTCTGCTAGTGTGCAATGGCTCTGCTAGTGTGATTTGCATGGTACATCAATCCCAAATTTGTGAAATTTTTACCTGTCTAATTTAACTTGACTTGCAGTTATGCCTCTCAGAAGACCATTTTTAAGTTAAAAAGAAGGTTCTTGAGGTCAAAAATGGTTAACACTACTGTGAAATAGATAGTTGCCCAGGAGTTCCTGCCTTCATGATCAGATACAGATCCAGACCTAATTTTATGGTCCACTGTTAATGGAATACCTTCTTTTTTAATGTTTTATTAACAAAACACTCAATTTAATTTTTTGTTTGGCAATGTTTTTTCAACAAAATTTATCATCTAGAATTGTTCATTCTTTAGCAATTCTACTTCTCCCACTTCTATGCCATAACATTGATTAATAAACAAAATAATCCCTACAGGACTTGTGAGCCCACATCCATGGCACCCTGACTATGTGCCTTCAGTTTTTCGCTCACTGCGAACAAAGAAAAGGTAACAATTTGTTTTGAGATTCATTGATATCACTTAAATGTTATGCTTTATATGAATGTAAGTTGCTTCAAGTGAACAGAGTCTCATTTTGATGGTTTGCAATGGTGCTTCCAGCTTTTGTTGCAGGTGTTGCACATTATCTGTCTTGCATTAATGAGTCATTTTATAATTGTTATACCAATTATTTGCACGTGAGGAGTGATCAGTAATTATAAAGAAAAGTGGGTAAAACGTTCTTCAATTTATTAATTTATTCAACTTGTCTATAAATGATGGTATCTAATGATGGATATAATTCTTTCAGCAATTTGAAAATAGTAAGCTAAAAGAAAGAGTAACATTTAGTAGCATTCATTCAGTAACATTGTTTTCCCATACTAAGTAACATATAATTTTACCCCTCTGATGCTAGGCATTTCCTGACAAAAACATCATGAGGTCTGGAAGTAGTAACTTTAATGTGCCATGTTTATTTATGAAATCTATTTTGTTTTTTGTATATTATTTCGCTTTTATTCACGTTTCAAATCTCTCGTTCCTTGGGAATTAAATTGATGGTTCGTTCAGTAGCTGGCTCATGACGGTCAGTAGAGTGCGTTTAGATAAAGGTTCTCTTGGAATTTGCACCATTAATTGAGTGCATGAGGGTCAAAATAAAGTAATTGTACATTTAAAATTAGACTGGCGAAAATCAAGGCACATAAACTGAAACAAGATTTGTGTTTCATGTGACATGTAAATAAATTCAGAACTTGACATTTACCTCTATGCAAACATCACTCTGAACTCTTGAACAAAGAATTAAATCAAACGATTCTAAATTACAATTTTATATATAACTGTTTTTTTAATCTTGGCTAATTTATAAGGAAAACTTTATCCAAAGCGCGATCCAGTTGGGTGGTACGACTGCTGTACGTGCAGGTCTCCATCACTAAAGCTCTTAGCAGTATTGTTTCCAGTAGCCATACCACGCTTGTTGTTCTGTAGCAGTAGTCAGTCTCTTCTAGAGATGCCTCACGTTCCGAATGGCGAGTTATAGGTGGTCGTACTTTGGAATGGTCATGTTGGCTTCCATTTTACTGCCGCTGCTCTCTCGTTGCCGTATCGCTGTTGTTGTATCCGACCGTATTTCCGAACTTACTTGCACATCCGACAGTCGGCTTTATAATCGCTGCACGTGTAGTTGCTCCTCGTGTATTCTCGAAAGTGAGTCACATCTGTTGCGCTGCTGTTGACCACACAGATTTAGCAAAGTTGCAGTCATTCCTTGTATGTTGAAGATGGTCTAACGAAAATAGTAGTTGTATGAACTATTCGAGTTTTCTCGCGTCAGTTAATGTTGGAAGACGGGCAACGCCTCCGTCATCACAGCCGCGGCCGTCGCGACGTCCGCAGACTGCAGACCGTGTCGGGTAGCTCCCAAGAACGTCTATGGCGCAAACTTCAGCTTCTTTTATACTTTTGCCATCACCGTATTACGCACAGTGATGTCCGTCATTTGAGGTAGACGTTGAAATCCTTAACTCAAGAAGCTCTGTCTCACGTTCTCTAAACAATCCCGTCTTACACACACACGACATCGATTCGGCCCACATTTCTAACCATCCCATAACCTGTACCCCAATTTCGAACTAAATAACTTGAGTAATTTATTGATTCGCCTTCAAACATCGTTCTAGTCGCTTGATTAATTTACCTTTATTCAGAAAACAAGGTAAATTTTTTTCTTATTCCGATCAATAATGAGCTTTTAATTGCTTTAGTATGATGTCGCAGCTTAATTGCTTCTCATCTGTTCGGGCGCCACTGTCACAGCTCGTGTTTTGGCGAAACTATGCTATCAGTTCATCGGCTCAGGGTTCTTAGAAGTGGTCTGGTCTTAGACAGTCAAGGGGACTGAAAGACAGAATTGACTTTAAGTGAACTATATTTAAATTACGGAACGCGTGACAAAGCGGGGTGACTATATTAGCAAGGCTTTAGCTTCAGCCAGCAAATGTGTTGCTAGGGCGGCTGATGAGTGACTGGCTATCGGTGCTGAAGGCACGGTAGAGAACCGCAAGTGTGATGTCACTGAAGGTGGCACACACAATCAATGAACAGCTGAGGATGTCGGTCAGAACCGGACAATGATGATTATGTGTTACTTTGTGTAATGTAAATTAAGCAGATCAATCGTAAGTAAATAATGTGCAATTATGTCTAAGATAGCATTTGTTTTCGGTTGAATTTAGTTATGGATGGTTGTATCACCTAGCAACTTTTGCTTTGTTCAGGGACAAGTCGTCACGAGCTCGGCAGATCATCGAGGCAGAGCTCGGGCTTGACGAAAAAGCTGGAAGTTTCAGTTACGATGAACGTAAACAGCAAAAGAAAATGGGTACACCTTGGAGAGCTTCGGATGAGCTCTCTTTCCATGGTGACGACTCGTTCGATACGCCACGAATGCTGTCAAGTAAGAAGAAGAAAATCTCGGATGCTGCTCTGCTCAGTGAAAGTAAGCGCAAACTTAAACAATTGGAGATGAGCGAGATGGATATTTTCGATGAAGATCGGATGTCCGTACAGTCTGGGTTGTTTGACAGCCATGATGAGGACTCGCTAATTGAAGCCGTAGCTGAAGTCAAGCCGAAAAGAGGCCGAGGTCGTGGCAGGGGTCGAGGCAGGCGAGGGGTTGGTGGTCGAGGCGCATCCTCCAGAGACCAAGGTAACGAGGACGGCAAGTGTCGCAATTGCCAGAGTTATATCCAGCAAATAGCCCTCCTTCAGGAGGAACTCAATGCAAAGAAAGCAGTCGCCGCCGAGTGGGATGAGATGGTTCGCGAGAAAAGTCGTTTGTTCAAGATGAAGCTTAATATTTATAAAGGTGAACTTCAAACTACAAAAGAAAAGATAGCAGCTCTTCAGCTAAATGAAGCCTTTTTCCAGAAGAGCAAGCATCGCGTTGTAATGTACACTGGGTTGCCAAATTACTCGATTCTCATAACATTGTTCAGCCTAGTGAGCCTTGCCGTTAAAAACGATATTCACATATCTAGCATCACCCGTTTCCAGCAATTCATTTTATGCCTGATGAAACTGAGAATGAATTTGAAATTCAAGGACCTCGCCAATCGCTTTGCAATTGACTTCTGCAAAATTGAGCGGTTCTTCCCTGAGTGGATGGACGCTCTGCACCGGCAGGTGTCGCACGTGCTCGTGTGGCCGCCAGACAACGTGCAATATCGACTCTCGGTGCTTTCACAGTCCCTCAAAGATCACTACAAGATCATCAAAGACGTCGTGCGCGTCACAAAGTTTATCTCGAGCGATGGCCACTTACGCAAAAACCACAAAATCGAAATAGTCTGTGGAGCTCTCATTCACATCTCGGAGGTGGCCGTGTCAGACGTGCAGGATAAGCTCCCTGATGTGCTGGTGGAAAAAGAAAAAATTATTGAAGATTACCTTAAAGCCATCGGTAAGTACGTGCCTTCCTGCCCTTCTATTTCATCTCCAGATGAAGCTCAGAAACATGAATCTGATGTAGAGATGGTGGAAGGTGAAAGCATTGCCGACGAGCCCTTCTCTACCGATGACGCTTTATCTCAAGACCAAGACATGGAATCAATGCACAAGGAAGAAAGTAAGGCAACTAATGAGCCTGCTGTGGACCCTCAATTAGATGCTGACAAGACAATTGCGGCAAGCACTGGGAATGCAACCTCCGAAGAAGTGCCTGATATCGGTGATGATTCAAAAAGCTCCTCTCAGACAAAGTTTTCCACAGAGGGAACAACTGGATGCGAGGTCGAAAATGCCGAAAGTAAACTAGGTGAATCAAATGCACCTATTCCTATTTACCCTGATCCATCTTCAGTTGTTACTGACCCGGCTAGTACCTCGATCAACGAAACTTTGAAGGAAAATGCGTCTTCTACTGAGGCTGACAATGAAAAATCTCAAGAAACTACAGAGCCTCATGAAGAAATTGCCAAAAGCGACGCGTCTCTAATCTGTCTCGATGTATTGAACGAAACGGCCGACGATGCTGTCACTATTCCGCCAGTTGACGCTGTCACTATTCCGCCTTTTGACGCTGTCGCTAATCAGCCAGTTACTGATGAAACTGTTCCGCCAGTTGATGCCGTCATTATTCCCCCAGTTGATGCTTCGCTCCTAACAGCCTCCGAGGGCGATTCTCAACATTCAACCCCGAGTAATGCAGTCGTCGGCTCAATAGGTGCTGTAGATATAGGCTCTACTGCACAAAATTACGCTAATTCCTTAGCTGACTCGAGAGAAACTTTGGAAATTGTTCCTCCGACCGAAGATCAATTGTCTGCAAGTGGAGCTCATCTTGACACATGTGTAGGATTGGAAAAAATGGACGTAGACCTTCCTGCTGCAGTAAGTGAAGCTTCGGTTATCGCCTCGAGCGCAGCGTCGACGATGTTACCACATGGCGATCTGGTTTTCAGCAGCACTGATGTTCCCTCTGTAGCTGCCGACCTTTTATCTGAGCTCATGGGGGCCGCAAGCAGTTCTGATCATGGTAGCACCGTAACTGAAGTGCTCCTCAATGTAGCGACTGCCATGGCTGCAAGCGCTTCTTCGGACATGGACCCTGTAACGGCCGACGTGCTCTTAGGCTCGTCCGATCCCTCCAAAATGGATGCTAATGTTGTCATCGGGCAAGGTGACAGAACTGATTTATCTCTAGACAATGTCGTCGGTAATTCCAACTGCAATAACCCAGATAGCACCAATCTTGAGAAGCTTCACTTAGAATGTCAAGCTATCCACGAAGAATTGCTCGATCACATCGAAGTGTTGAGAGAACAGTTACCTCACAGCACCAAGCTCACGTCATTCGAAACGTTCGAAGAGGTCGTGAATTGTCTTGACGAGCAATTACTTTCAGTACCTAAGAGCGTTGCGTCGCGAGGGTTGCAGTGCTGGCTTACCCTTACCAAACTCAAATTGAACCTCGACGACACGGATCTCTCATACTCCTACAGTATTTCTGTGGAAAACGTGAAGAAAATCTTTGATGACTGCGTTCGGATTTTATCCAAAGAATGGAAAGACGAAGAAGAATATGACTCTTTGGTTGATGAAATATTGATGAAAGAATTCTCTTACCTTTCTAGAACATCCGACGATAGAAGCGATGCTGCGTTGAAAGTCTGCCGTTTCATCAACAGCAAGGCTAATTCTTCGCTAGACACAACTGTGACCGAGAACATACTTTACTCGACCTCATTTTCTGAGGTATGGGGTTCAGTAGGGCAGGACCGATCAGCAAGCGAACTGCAGCAGTTGCTTGCCGCTGAACTACAGCAGCTGCAACGCATAGTTCAGCAGCGACCGGTTTTAACGGAAGAGCTGCTAAGCTCCAGCCACGATACCTTCGTGGAGTACTACACGGGATTCTCTGACTATGACAGTCTGCATGACGTTTTCAACGCTCTTTTGCCAGGACCTAAGATCCACAGCTCCAAGAGTGGCGATCTGTCCCCTTACAGTCAGTTTATTTGTGTGTTGCTGCGCCTTGTGCACAACCTGCCTAAGGATGAGATACTTCTACGCCTGCCCAAAGCTCCCGAGAATGATGATAGCGTCGAGCAGCTCTTCAACAATCATGACCCTGATGTGGAGGTCATTATTTCGACGTGGCTGCCGTGGATCCATACGCAGTTCATGCAGGTCAGTGAAGGCCTAAGAATTTTTTTAGCTGAAACTAAGTAAACAAAATTCATTAAAAGTTAAATCATATCTCCGGAATTTCTTCCTCGAGTCCAGTTCGATTGGTGTAATCAATTGTAATTCTTGTTATGTACTGAAATGCAGCAATGTTTAAACTTGTCGTATTTATTTTAAGATTTTTGTTATTCATTATTTCACTGTTTATCTTATTGTTAAGCTTCATTTATGATGCTACTTGTCTTCATTCTTGTTTTTGTCGAGCTGCATCAGTCGACTGTCTTCCACGTTTATTATTAATGTAGTCATTTATACCGACGTCAAAAAGTACATTAGCGCTGTGTAAAATTATCATAAAACGTATTCGAAGGATGTTAACTGTTATAACTCACGATTTTAGTTTGGAACTAATTTATTGAGAGATAAAATATATAAAACAAGTTAGCCCTGTATATTGTATACGGTGTGTTGCTAGCTGGTGACGTGGCCTGCGGCGCGTGACGACGGCGAGGAGTTCTTGCGCGAGCTGCGGTCGCGGTATCGCTACCTGGCTAGCGTCGCGCCGCTGCTCAGGATGCAGGCGGAGGCCGTGTGCACGGCGCTCTACAACGCCGGCCACCACCTCTACTGCGTCACCTCCGATGATGAGGAGCAGGGCGACGACCGCGAGTTGGTCGAATGGCTCTTCTAAGCGGGAGTGGTGATCGCGTCTTGACAACGAGGGAAAAGGGCCTGGAAGAACGACTTGTCAAGTGGTCCTTCTAAACAGTAGTGGTAATCGCGTCTTGACAACGAGTGAAAGTTGCGCAATTGAAGGGCTTGTTAGATAGCTTTCATCAAATTATTTTCAAGGGTCGTGTTTTTTTTATCATGAATTATTATTTACTTCTCATGTATTATGAGAAATATAGTTGGGGGAAATAAAATGAAAAGGTGCCATCTACCTGCCTTATTCAAAGAAAAATCTCTCGTTTGACGCTACATTTAATTTTTATCTTTAATTATTAAGTGTAATAAATATTAGTTATTTCCAATATAGCAAATGGTAAAAAAATGTATGGAAATACTATGAGCATGCTCTTTAGAATACAGAGAATATCAGGAATGCGCATTTACGTTCAGCTCCAATATTTGCATTGTACGAAATTTGATTCAAACCTTCAATGTACCGAACTTGTGTTATGGAGGGTACCTCCAAAAAAATTGGCAAAATTTAACGGATTGGTAAACTTCAGATAATGTTATTAAAAAAATACTCGCGCCAACTTCAAAAATTGTTTGCTTCCCATTCAAAAGATATCTGCTCAACCTCAGCATAATACTAATCAATTTTGTTGAGCATTAATGTATGTATACGACAAACCAAGTAATTAGAAATACACGCTTGAAGACGTTTCTGGATCACGGATAAATCTGATTCGAGGTGGACTTCCATGCCAAATTCCCTACTCTTGAGTAAAATATATACCAAGGTTCACCAAACCGCTCTAATTCATCTTATGCGCCAAGGTAATGTCTTTAAAGCGTTTAGGAAATGTTCTCCTTTGCAGGGCATGATGAGAATTATCACGTAACCAACCCGTGCTCGACAGTTTTGGTTGATCCACTTTCTGTGAAAATGTTATGGTACGCAATCCATTCTGAAAAATTTTGACGCTTTTGTGCAACATCACACCATTCTTGGTTCAGTGACCAGCGTTAAACTATGTACCGGGACACGCAGTGTCTGCCTAACTGTGAAGTAGCTTGAAAGGAAACTAACCAGCTTAAAAAAATTATATTTGATTACATGTCAATATAAAATGCTTCAATTTTATATTAAAAATGATTCCTATATTCTAGCGTCAAAGATAGGCACATAACATAACAATATTTTAGATGAAAAGCTCAACGCGTAACACAATATTAAATGCTAAATAATGCATCGAACACACAATTTCCACGAGATACAGGAGCTGTTTTTAGATGGTCTCTTATTTTTAAACACCCATAACTCAATCGAACTATTGAACTGCGTGAAGGTGTAAGATTGTCGTGGATACATTTTGCAAAGAAGCGTTCAAATAGATGCTTAATTAATCCTTTAAGCGTGCACTCGATTTATTGAGGATACCGTACAAGGTTTGTTGGCTTGGCAATTATATAAACATTAATAGGATATTTGATGAATGACTTCTATAGATGATCAGCATCGCCATTGAATATCCCCGAATATCCTAGTGGCACATATTTATTGAACGTGTTTATCATTCAGCGGGGATTTGCCCCCATTCTCCTGGTATCCCCAAGTGCAAATATAATCTTAGTTCGTGTGAATAGTACGTAGCTTTTACACAGTTCACGAAAAAAGTGGCCGAGACCCGTGTACAAGAGCAAATTCACGCATATAGTTATTTATATGGTCGCGGTAATTAAATGGATCGTCATTGAATTCGTCTTGCGTCATACCGTTGGGTGGACATCTACTTTGCAATGGCATCTACAACGATGTTTATTTTAGTACTATAGAAAAGAATGTGCTTAGCTTCTAAACCATTAAACCCACGAATAATATTATCCCACCTTAACTTGTTAACGATGCCTAAAAATACTTGAGTACATCGTACCTATGATTCCCGTACGTAATTGTGGCGCTACAAGCAATAACATTTTGTCTCTGACGGTACCTCTAGTTACTAAACCAAGAGATACCAATAGCATTGAGGATCACGATCAATGATTCCATGAACGAAGTAATCAGTCAGAAGATTCAGGCGGCAAGCTTGCGGACCATATACTGAAGGATGCCTCCGTGTCGGAAGTACGTCACCTCGACCTCGGTGTCAAAACGCAGCAGCGCTGTGAATTCGCGCTCACTTCCGTTAACCTGCAATGAGTGAAACGAAAAATAATTAAGTTCATGTAGCATGATTAATAGATTATTTCTTACTAATAAATTAGGCCTGCTATAATCTTTTGACCAACGAACAACGGAGAAAAATAAACCTCTAATGTAAATACCAGACGAGATGCCTTCGTAGGGACGTCTTAAAAAAAAAAGTAGCACACAGGAAAGTATGTTTGTCGCAAAACTTAAAACGTTATACTTGAGCCAGCTGCAAACACATATTCAAGTTATGATGCATCTTTTTTTAAAAATTTATCAAGTAATCAATTGTAACATATACATCTGTATGATTATTAATTTCTCAGAATAAATATTTACATAAGAGACGAAATTCTGAAATTTGAACCAACAGTTATATAATTCTCAGAAAAAATTGAACGATTTTTCCCCTAATTATTAAATTAGAAAAAAAATACTTGAAATTGAAAAAAACGTTGCATCCCGAGATGAATGAACAATGAAACAATGACGCACCTTGACGGAGACGGTAATGGAGGGTGCGATGGTGTCTGGCAAGATGATATCGTAGGTCTCGGTGCCGTCGAGTCCGAGGCTGTCAGCAGAGTCGCCCTGCATGAACTGCAGCGGCAGGATGCCCATGCCCACCAAGTTGCTGCGGTGGATGCGTTCGTACGACTCGGCGATCACAGCGCGCACGCCCTGGGAGGATGAGACGTGCCACGCTCACAACAGTCGAACACTTAAATGAGCTTTCTATCTTTGGAGACATGAAATTAAACCAGCACGTATAATGCTGGGATGGAAACGTTTTTTCCTAAAGTGCATCACGGAGCCATGTACAAAAAAAACTAAATTGGAATTATCATACGAAGTCTTGGGAATAATTACTTGAACAACTTCAACTAAATGAATTTGTGCTTGATTTATTTTTTTTAATAGATGATGCATTGAAACAACTAAGATACCGATTTACTGCATTGATTCTAAGCGAGCTAGTGAGGTACAGGAGGAACTCACGAGCATGTAAGGCCCCTTGGCAGCCCAGTCACGGGATGACCCAGAGCCATACTCCTTTCCCGTCAACACGATCACTGGGATATTCTCTGCCTTATATCGCTCAGCGCAGTCAAACACGTCCAGCTGTATCACAGAAAATTGAATTGTTCACATCATTTTCAAGAAAAATTAAATAATGTAGCACTAATTGTGAAATGATATTGATAGGACAATTCTGTAGTATACAACTCCTAAAATGCTGTTGATTAGATGAGCGAGATACTACCGATGCGTTGCAAATATTCTAGCTACCATGAGTTTAAGGAATTGTGCAAGACTCAAGGCCCTGACTGAAAGCCGTGCGAAGTCTAAGAGCGAGGTTTTCGCGACCATCGTGTAAAATCCTTGATCTGTCCGAAGCTCAGCCTGTCGCTACCCTCGAGCTTGTACTCTTTGTAATATGATATCCTAGCCAGACCCTTTCTCGCGGTCACTGGTCGCTTTCAGGTGGCCGAGGAAGGCCAACGGTCGGCTATAACTAATTAGACTAGGCCGACCACTGGCCACGTATTATTCTTCGCCCCTCATTGACTTCGCCTTTACCATGCCACCTGTTGTGAACTGACAGTTCAGTAATTTACGACGTCTCTTTCCCCTCATGTATTCCACAACGCCTCCATTTGAGCAGCTAGTATGCGGGATTTTCCCTCCGCGTATCAGCAGGCTCGATCATAACTATTTTTCGGTAGAAAATATCTACAACAAAGAGGCTGATCAAGGAATGCCGAGTATACCATTCAATGGAGAATAAAAATTACAACCCTTTTTTATCTCGAAAAAAGTAAAAAATTCGCAGACTTGATGAACAATAATATTCAAAGTTTCTTGAAATTTCCTCTCATTAAAACTGTTTTAATACAAAGTTTACATATTTTTTGTTACTGATCACCGTTTATAAATAAATAGCTGAGTAAGCATGGAAAAATCCATATCGCCATCTCATTTGCGAGTGGAGTAAAGTCTATCCTAATTAGTGAAGAAACGCATAGGGAAGAGCCAAGCCTGTTAGAAGCCTCGCGACCTTCAACCAGGGCCTTAAGAGCGTAACTTGTCCGCTGTGCAAATTAGATCAATCATCAAGGGCTTGTTCATTACTGAGCAAAGTGGGATTAGCATTTTTTCCTGGCGCTGCTATAAATGTCGATATTAGTTGATTCAGCAGTAGGTAAGGAAGACGCGCGGAATAGTGTTTTTTCTTTTCAACTCGCGTCTCTTGCGTGTTTTTTTCAAATGTTTCGATGATCGCGAATGCCACACCTCCTCTCCCGACGGCTGATGCACGGCACGCGGTGCGGCGCGCCCCACCATCTTGTTCACGAGGCGGATGTTGGCGAAGGTGCCACGAGCCATGACCGCGTCGTTGCCGCGGCGCGATCCATACGAGTTGAACTCGCGCGGTGTCAGTCTAGACGAGATCAGGATAGCACAAGCTTTCATAGATAGGTTAAGAATTTTTTCTAATTGAGAATATTTTCTCCTGCATTAATCTAGAAAATTTTTTGTAACTTTCCTATTATTAGGAAAAATATTTGCAGAATATTCTGAGTACTATTGGAGAAAAAGGTGAACCCCAGAAGGCATGTAAATGAGATGTTTTCATCATTAGACACGAATGAGTATAACCAAATTGCAAAAACTAAAACATAACTGGAAACCTTGTAAAAAGATTAAGAGTAACGATATCTTAGCTTTGAAAAACTGATAGCGTTATCGCTGAATAAATGATGGCTGATCAATTCATAGCAAGTTTCTGAAGTAACGGATGTTGCTTGAGCTCACTTGCTCTTGGCGAGGTAGCGCGCGGCGGGAGAGTTGCGGGCGATGGAGCCAGCGGGCGAGATGTGGTCCGTTGTCACCGAGTCCGGCAAGTTGAGCAGCACGCGAGCACCGCGGATGCTTTCAATAGCAGGCAACTCCTAAGAACAAACTTACAATGAAGTCGATTGCAGTAATATCTCATCGAATACGAAACAATTCATAACAAAAAATATAAATCGCTAGAATATCCTTATGATAGAGGAATAGCCTCAAAATCTCCACTGATATAACCAACGAGAAATAACAATGCCTGGTTTTACAGTCACCGTTGAGTTCTTGTATTTCATAAACTAAACAAAAATCTATCAATCACGCATGTGTTGGAAATTAAAATTTGTAGAAAATAAGTACGTTATTTCCAAAGTGAAATTTATTTTAAGGATCCAATCTAAAATTACACACGACAGTGATGACGGTGTGATGCGCAATACTCACTCTTGTGATGCCCTGGAAGAAGGGCGGGTTCTTAATGTATGTGCTGAGCTCATCCCAGGGGTACAGCTCAGTGTCTGGACAAGGCAACTCGTTCCAGTCATCGCTTCCTGCACATTAACATGCAGTATTTTAATCATATCAATATTTATTTTAAAACATAGAGTAGCCTATACACATACAGTATACAGGCTAAAGTATTATAACTCAGTCTTCATTTATTGCTTCTTGTTAAATTGATTCTTGTGTCTTTACTTGTATATTGCATCGCTAGTGAAGCGTTTCGTGCACTTTAGCAGCATCCTAAATAAAAATTATATCCAAACGGATAAGTGACTCAATAAAGTGTGAATACAATTTATGAGACGAGACATTATAATGCAACAATGAACGTGAAACAGTTCGAACTTTGATTAGGCCTTACCAGTGGTGATGTTGCTATAAACTTCCTGGAACATGGCGGGTAGCACGGAGGTCTCTTCGACCTCGCGCACTTCTGAGCGCGATGGCCAAATTTCAGACAGAAAAACGGGGCGTCCTTCCTTGTTGTAGCCTGCGCGTACATTACACTTTAAAAAAACATGGTGGCAATTTGTGATATAAATTAAATTTTAATTCATAAAATATGGGCGACTGGTCGAGAGGCGAGTTGCCAAAAATTCTAATGGGTATGAACTTATAGCAAAACTGTAAAAACTGAACACAAACCTCAGCTTGAGGCCAAAACAAAGGCTCAGCTAGAGGCCAAAACAGAGGCTAATCAAGAACCTCGGTTTTAAAGTCAATAAGACAGCCACTCATCGAGACGCTCGGTCTTGAAGTCAATATGCAATATGACAGCCACTCACCGAGAGGCTCGGTCTTGAAGTCAATAAGACAGCCACTCACCGAGAGGCTCGGTCTTGAAGTCAATATGACAGCCACTCACAGAGAGGCTCGGTCTTGAAGTCAATATGACAGCCACTCACCGAGAAGCTCGGTCTTGAAGTCAAAATGACAGCCACTCACCAAGAAGCACGGTCTTGAAGTCAAAATGACAGCCACTCACCAAGAAGCACGGTCTTGAAGTCAATATGACAGCCACTCACCGAGAGGCTCGGTCTTGAAGTCAATATGACAGCCACTCACCGAGAAGCTCGGTCTTGAAGTCAATATGACAGCCACTCACCGAGAGGCTCGGTCTTGAAGTCAATATTAAGAGTGCCGGCAATGGCGTAGGCGATGACCAGTAGAGGGGAGGCGAGGTAGTTGGCGCGGGTGCTCGGGTGGATGCGGCCTTCGAAATTGCGGTTGCCAGACAGCACACCCGCGCACACAAGCTCGTTCTGTGAACGCAACAACTCAGTTTTGAGGAGGCTTATTAACAAATACTTAATAAATAAAATCCATAACATGAAAGTGAGAATTTGAAATCAGTATCAACATTTCAATAAAATAATTTGTCAATATATCATTATGTTTCTACATTTCGCTAATAAATTTTAACCAACAAATATCATCCTGAATTTAACTTATCAGTTAGAAAATTTTTGCGTGTTCCTCGCCTCTTCAATAGCTCGAAGAACTTCATCATCAAGAGGGCCTGAGTTTCCAATGCAGGTCATGCAGCCATAGCCGACGACGTCGAAGCCAAGGGCGTTGAGGCTGGGTAGGACCCCTGAGTGTTCGAGGTAGTGCGTCACGACACCACTGCCCGGCGACAGCGACGTCTTGATGTACGGCGCCACGCTCAGTCCTGCCGCCACTGCGTTACGTGCCAACATCCCTGCCGTGCAAACACCAAACAATAGTTTAATATGTAAACTATTACGGGCATAACACACTTTTAACTAAATAAAATGAAACAAGCAATACTCACGGGGATGAACTTCAACAGAGATGAAAAAAAAACTGCTGACTCTGCGAGTTTGCCACGTTTAAGTTCAGAAACAAGACACGATAAGTCAACAATCTTATGTTTAGTTGCATAAATAATTGTTAATACGAGTCTATATAAACCGGCGGCGAGCTGAAATTTGTGTAGCCAGTACTGGTTTTATTGCACTCTACCTGATTACGAAAACATTTATATAACGGTATTGTATACGGTATTACAATAGAGGATTACTTAGTTACCTGCGCCGAGCATGACGGAAGGGTTGCTGGTGTTGGTGCAGGAGGTGATGGCCGCGATGACCACGGAGCCATGGCTGAGGGTGTACTCAGTACCTCGGTATGTGAAGGGCACTTTCTTGCTCAAACTCTCAGCTGGCAGGCCAAAGCCCTTGAACCCAACCTGCATTCATTATAAAAACTCGTTATAATATTCACCCGCGCAAAAGAGCCCATTTTGAGAAAAAAACGAGCTGAAACAAGTTTAACATTCAGCTGACTACAGCTGAAAGAAAATTAACCACATTATTTTTGGACAATATTATATCATTGTGAAGCTTTGGTAGGAAGAAAATCAGGGCGTAGGATACGTGTCCTCATATGATTCAATGAAGTTATGCAAGTTACAATTTGTACCGAGGTCAACTCAAAAGTTGGAATTGAATTTTAGCGAGCTACATAAAATTTGAAGTTCACTTAGCTTAACATAAAGGGAAACAGATTTAAAATAAGACATAATATAAGAAATTGCATGACTCACCTTATTAGAGAGACACCGCTGGAAGTCTTCCTTGACGTGCTCGACGGCAACGCGGTCATGTGGTCTCTTAGGACCTGACATCGAGGGCACAACTGAAGCCAAGTCCAGTTCCACAACCTGAGTGTAGACAGGATCCTGGGACGAGTCTCCATAGTTGCGGAACATCTTGACAGCCTTCAGGTAAGCTTCGATTACTGCAATTTGCTTTTGATCACGGCCTGAAATGATCACGACATCGATTATTAGAAATGATGTCACTAGGAGTAACCTCATCTGCTGAACTAGATGAAAGTAAATAGAAAAACAATTATTAGGATAACATATTATAATTTGATCGAAGTGGTATAATAAAACTATATTAATTCAGCGCACTTTGAACTTTTTTCCACTGAGGAAGCACTTAACATGACTCCATATTACGTGTGCAGGAGCGTTATAGAATGCAAGCCGGGTGCCGCCTATTTCTTACCCTGTCAATGACGCATACCATGTTTATAAAAATGCTACGCACGTACCCACGAACATTAAAATATACATGTTAAGTTAAAGAAGATCATGAAACGCAAATAAGAGGTACAAGACAGCCCCGAACAGCAAACCAAGATCCTTACATCTTTACCATTCAACTTTACAACCTACAAAACAACTTACAAAAAGCTTCTCCTTTGATAAATAATACCTGAATTTAAAGACTACAGAGTAGAGTTACCGGTTTGTTTGAGATAGGCAGAAGCTGCAGGGTCCACAGGGAAGTAGGCGGTTGTGGCGCCGTACTCAGGACACATGTTGCTGATCGTGGCCCGGTCAGCCAGGCTCAGCTGTTCCACGCCCGCACCGAAAAACTCAACAAATTTCCCCACCACTCCAACCTCCCGCAGATGCTGCACACGAACAGACTCGTTATTGCAAAATATTGGAGTGGAGAATTCCTTTTTTGTATGAATTACATTAGAAAACTAAGATTCGTTGTTAACCGACATGTGGATGGTCAAATAATGCATTCAATTTTCAAAAATAGGTGAACTCTTACTGGACTTAATCAATACGTCGTACAGTATAAAATTCAATCTATCCAAAATTTACAGCCAAATCATTAAGCTAGAATAAGGGAAGTATAACCTGACTGGGATTCGGTGCGCACATATTCAAAGCTAATTGATTCAGACAAACTCTTCAAACCTCCCCTGTGATGGTTCAGTGAAGCCACGATTGCAGACGTATGTTAAAATTTCTCCTAACGTAGACCATTAATAAATAGAAAATTATTATGCACGAATGATCGCCATCGTCATTAGTTGTAGAAATAAGGTTATAATCAAGAACACAAAAATTCATGTCACCTTGGTGATAGTGAGCACCACATCTGTAGAGGTGGAGAGGGGCGATAGCTCGCCAGTGATCTTGTACCCGATGACCTCAGGCAGCACCAGTGATATGGCTTGACCAAGCATCACAGCCTCGGCTTCGATGCCTTGGTTGAAACACAGAGAAATTTGATTTTCTTTTTACATAAAAAACAAGGAATGAAGCCGAAAATTCTATGAAATTGGCAATTTTAAGCAGGTATTGCAAACGAAGTTCTATAATATAAAACTGTTTGAGTTTTTTTGAGATTATACTTAAATATTGATCAGAAATTCACATCCAAAAATTAATGAACAATAAATTAATTGAATTAAGTTTAACACACTAATTCAATTTATTATTCATTAAAATATTTTAATGGAATTTCCTTATCACAATTATAATCATAAATGAAATTATTCAATTTCTTCCTATAGGTACCATTTAGGAGACATTTATGGACTTAATTGAAGTTACCTCCAACCCCCCAACCCAGAACCCCAAGTCCATTGATCATGGTGGTGTGGGAGTCCGTACCCACCAGGGAGTCAGGGTATAGGGTTGCACCTCCACCACTGCTCGACCCAAACACAACCCTAGCCAGGAACTCCAGGTTAACCTACCCACACAATATCGCATTAATATGGCTATCAAATTTAAAGAATCCATAACTACCTCATGAACAAACAATTTCAAAACACTAATTCATATATAGTTTTCGAAATTAATATATATTTACATTGTCAACTAATTCCTAGAATATTAAATCAATTCATACCTAATAAGAAAAGAAAATGCACAAATTATCATTTCATAATAAATTTGTTTATAACTCGTTTCTTTGCAAGGAAGTGTTACTGAACCAGGAAATAAGTGGTTGTGGTCAGCCGTCATTAAAATATTATATGTTCATTGTTGAAGTCGAATATGATAGTTCATGACGCACCTGATGCACTATGCCAGAACCAGGAGGAACAATCAACATGTTCTTAAAAGCAGAAGCACCCCATTTAAGGAAAACAAAACGCTCTCTGTTGCGCTCGAATTCCAATTTCTGGTTACGAAGTAAGGCATCTGAACTGCAAGCAAAAGCCAGAGGGGAAATATTAGAAAGACATATATTTATATATATTGTCGAATAGATTCATGATATAACTCAAAAGCTGTTAATTTTATCAGACATAAAACAATGGTAATACTACACAGAGAAGTTTTTATCTCTGAATAGAAACAATAGACAGCACTATTGTTGCATATTATGTACAATGACCTGCGTGTGTAGTCAACTTGTACAGAATGATCAATGACCAGATCAGCAGGGCAGATTGGGTTGATCTTCGCTGGGTCGCCATTGAGGCTCTTGACAGCATCTCGCATTGCAGCAAAATCAACCACGGCAGGCACACCCGTGAAGTCCTAATTCCAACAAGAGAATTGAGATACAACTTATAAATGGAACACTCAAAGTAACTGGCATATCAGGTTAGAATAATTGGTTAATTCAGGTTAGAATAATTGGTTAATTCAGATTAGAATATTTTATTAATAGAGATATATATTAGGTATATGCACTGGTAGTAAAGAAAAAAACTTTAATATGATGATCAATTTCTTCATGTAAAGAAGGAGTACTTCATCTTCAAGTGAATAAGGAAATAATTATGCATTTTCAACAAAATTTTGTAGTTATCTTGATTTAATTACAGGCATTGCTTAATAAAAAATCTAACAAACTTGATCAAAATTTATCAACTTACATAAATATATGGTACTGTACGTAGTGATTAGTTTTCTATATGAAATTTAGACAGACCTGGAGTAGCACCCGAGCTGGCCTGAATGGGACCTCTACACCAGCACGTTGGTGTTCTTCCCATGACAAAATCCGCTCCACATCACTCTTCAGCACCTGGCAAATTAATTACGAGTGATCCAATCATTGCAATGAATAAATGCAATCTGAACTTAAATCCTCAGTTTATGGATACATTATCCATTGTCTATACATATTCTTTTTAAAGGCCTAATGAAATGAGTTACAGCAAGTCATGGTTGCAAAAAAAGTAGAAGATTTACTCACTCGGCAAAAAAAGGAAGTTTGAATTCAGAATTAACGAGTTACCTAAATTTACTTTGCATCATTGGTGTTTCAAAGTAAAAACTAAAACTGTCTAAACACTTCCAACTACAGTCTTGGAATCAAGGCTCAAAACCATTTCAGTGCATAATTACCTGGAAATTATCACAGTTTCTGACAGCAGATTCAAGCAGCACTCTGATGCAGAACGGCAGACGATCTGATGAAGAGAAGAGAGTGTAGCAGAGACTTAAACTCTCTTTTTCATGTTTTAAATCAACCCTAAATAACTATTAAACCATTGCATTATCTGCAGTGCATATAAATCAAATTTTAATAGCATTACCTACAACAGTTCAAGAAAATTATTACATCGAGGGTTAGGAAAACTTCTCTAAGAAACCTAAAAAAAGTCATACCATATTTCTGGGGATTTAGAGCAGGAATGTTGAAGTAAGTAAACTGTTCACCAGCTGCAGTAAGTGGCTGCAGCAAATCTTGGAAGGGACAGTCATGTTCTGAAAATAAAAACAAAGGACAGTAATAGTTGTCATAATTCAATGTATTCGGCTTGATGGTTTGCAAGATTCTAAAATAAATGGACCTCCAGTGTGCTCAATAAATATCATTATTACCAAAGATTAATTGTACATATTAGAAACAATGCTTAGGCAGAAATACTTTATACACAATAAAACTGCTAACCATGAATGAGAGAATCAAAAACAGTACTTGCATAATAATTCATTAAGATTGAAGAATTATATATATATACCAGATTCCAATGTCTCATAATCAAGTAAAGTATTGTGACAATCAAATCACAGATAGCTTATTTATTTCATCATAAAATAATGGTAACATTTCCTTGAAGAGGCATACATATTTTTTCAGCTATAGAAATCTCATTATACAACTTAGGATGATCTATCAAATCAAACCATTTAATACAAGAAATGAACAGGAACCAAATGCAAAAATGAGATTAAAATGCAGAGTAGAAATTTTCACTTTTGAGTGAAGACAAATAAAACTAAAAATTAAAGGATTTTCATCAGGCCATTATTTCACAAGAGAGTCTACAGTCTTTAACTTTATTTTACACTATCAGACACATATTTTTTCAAAGGTTCCTTGCTAAGCAAAGGTGAAATTGAACAGGCATTGGCAGTTCATGCTTGTGTACTGGTGGCTTCAGCATTCAGCCCAACTTCTCCATCTGAGGTTCCAGTCTAAACTGAGTATTTATGTGGCACCCATCATATTATCTCATAGCCTCACTTAGTCTTACCTGCAGGGCACATGATGAATTAAAGGCAATGCAAACTATTTAGTGATACAGAGATATTTTCTAGTGTTGATGGCACAGATTGAGTTTAAAAAGTGGATACCTGAAAATTTGGGATTAAAAAAAATTAGAGAATATCCGTGCATAAAAAAACAGAACGTAGAAATTGAAAATATATGCACATAAAAGTATTTAAAATTACCATACAATACTAATGCATGATTCCTTCCAGTTTCAAAGTATATACCATGATAAATTGGGATGATTAAAATATACTCAGATATCACTACTATAAGAAAGATTAACTGCATCAGAGTTGCACCTAGCTAATACCTGAGCAATTATATCTCAGGACAAGTGTGTTTAACACAAAAAACATCATTTTTTAACACAATGACGTGAAAAAGTGGGCATAGAGAAAGCATTATACACATTTTCTGGTATATAAACAACTAACCTATCAATTTGGTCTTGGACATTAAGGAGATCAGTTGATATAGATTGAAGAAACTAATCTGTTATGTGAATATTGTACAATAAAATAATTGTATACATGGGCAATGAGGAATAACAATACAGAAATGAGGCTGACAGGCTTAGTGAGCCAAGATCACTTGATTCACTACCGTCAAACAGGGTAAAAAGGGACGGTTTTGAGCGTTTTTTGTTAATAACTTCTTACTGTGAAACATTTCAGGAATGAGTTGGGGCTCATTTTAAAGCTCTTGGCAAGGGCTATTGAACGGCATTACAAAAATTTCATATGCTGTACGTGAGGCGCCAGACGCAAAATAAAAGCGTCACTAACACTTGCTATAAAATTAATTTTAAAACATTTGAAGCATGCAGAGTGTACTTATCCATTACTAACAGTACTCTGAAGTTCTCCTCTTTTATTGTAGATGATGTAGAGGTAGAATAAGTGATATTTTCTGTGATTTTTACTTGTTTTTCCTTTATTCATATGATATTACCGTAAACATTAATTACCATCAACCAGGGCTACTTGGGACAATTTTGAAGGTTCTTCATTCATAACTTCTCACCCATGAAACATTTCATAAACAAGTTTAGCCTCATTTCAAAGCTCTTTGCAAGGACTATCACATGGCTTCTCCAAAAAAATTCCATATGCTATTCGTAAGGGGCCAGGAGCAAAAAAAAGTGTCCCGAGTAGCCTCGTCAAATGAGGCTACTTGGGACACTTGGAATAAAACTTAATTTTAAAACATTTGAAGCATGCAGAGTGTACTCATCCGACATCATGGATTGAGGAATAATGGATTACTTTTTGTAGTTCTCTCGCCACTGAGATAGGGTCCAATGAGATTTTTCTTGCGTCTGGATACAGTTGTTTGATTATCACCTTGTTGTTGTTTCCAGATGATTTGTCAGTTGCATTGGTTGGAAATGATTTATGTTGTGTTCGTTTGGCAGACAATCAAGGAGCTTTAATGGTGTTAGCGTTAGCAGGAGTAGCTGTTGGTTGGATCATGCTGTCTGATTCTTGTTCAGATTCAGTGCCAATCTGCCGCTTGTGCCTTCTAGGATTAGGGGACCCTTCTTGTATACCCATGCTTGACCTAGTTGTTCCATTGTTTTCTAGCACCTTAGTCTTGGGTTGATGGCCAGTGATGTCTCCATCTGAAGATGCTTGGAGTCCAGATTGCAGGAGAGGGCCAGCAGGATCTTGAGTTGGAGTTTCTGGGACAATGTTCTCATTATATATATTTATATAAATTATATATACGAAGCGCTTCTCCTTTAACAGTCAACAAAGTACTAACCGATCACTTGGAGCTGTACGCTACATTGGTCAGCTGGATGCCACATCCTGCAGGCTGAGCTGAGGCAGCTCAATGGCATTTCGTTCTTTCGTTTTTCTTCCGTTCTGCTTGTGCGGAAAACGTCGCCTCACACAAAGCATCGTTGGCAGCGCCGCGGCCGCCGCCGAAGCTTCTGGAAGGTTGGCTGACTCGCCGAAGCTTCGGTAAGATTGGTAAATGGCGTCGGCAAGATCTTGAGTTGGAGCAGGATCTTGAGTTGGAGTTTCTGGGACAATGTTCTGTTGTTGTTGTTGACCCTTCCCGCCTCGCTTCATGGCGCGAGGCGGGGCCTAGACCCAGTTCTGGGGCCAGCCAAGTCGGTCGCCCCAGCGGGCCAGCAGCCCTGCAGCGTTTACAGGGTCCGACCAAAGGTCACCCACCGACAGGGATGTGGGCATTTCAGGGCAGGAGAAAAGATGAATGGTGTCGTGCGTGTTGGACAGACAGAGTTGGCAAAGTGGAGAAGGGTGTGTGGCAGGGTCTATTTTATTTAGATATGAGAGAAGTAGCGGTGATTTATTTGTGCGAAGTTGGGCAAGGTTCCTGCGTGCAGGTCTAGGTAGGTTTATTTCAGATGGGTGAATCTGTGGTGCAGGCATGTTTAAAATTTTATTGTGAGGGAGGGTTGCAAGATAGTTTTCTTGAGTGTGGTCATGGCTGTTGTTATATTTATTGGGTTGCCCTTTAGAGATTTAATTCTTCTGTCTGTTATCCTGTTATTGTGTGCGGTTTGGTGCGGTTTGGTGTTTATGAACTGCTTGTTGAATTGTGTTGCCTTCTCTTTGTCAGTATATGCTGTTGTGTTTGTGAATTGTATAGTTTTGCTTGGTTCTTGGCGTGGCGTTTTGTTTGAAAGTGATGAGATTGTCTTCCAGAGAATGTGTGTGTTGTGTTTGTTATTCCAGTTTCGATCGAGGTGCTCTTTCCATAGGTTGCCTTTATGCGTGTTTATTTCAAGGTCTATGTCTCTGTTGAGTTGTTGGATAGCTGGGTCATGTCTGTTTTGTGTCCTGATGTGGTTGCGTTCTTGTATTTTGTCTCTGATGGCTTGGGGCAGAGGTGTGTGTTTTGTTTTTATTTTTACTTTGGGTATATGGTGTTTGTCTGCTTGTAGAATGAGTCCAGTAAGTATCTTATTGGCAATGTGAACGTTGGCGGGTGCTGGAGACAATGTTCTCATCATCACTGTTAGGCATGTCAGACTCTGACTCTGCCATTATCATTATGCATTTATTACCTTCAATCACAATTCACAAGTAGCAACTTACAGTTATACAAAAAAAAATTAATAAATGCTAATATAAATAATAAATATAATGGAGCAAATAGTTAAAGAAAATATTATTATATATAATTTTTTTTAATAGTGGTACAGAGATGAAATATAGGCTAATATGAATAGAAGTAATAGAACAAGTTCACGCAGCAAATGGTATAGCATAAATAAAGTCAAAACAATATTGATGTTGTCATGTTGATAGCCTAGGCTACCTATTAAATGCTCTAGTTAAGTAGTTATATTACAAAATTCCAAACCTCAATTCAAAACTATGCAGGACACTGAGGACAGCAGGAATCCTACCTAACTAAACTGATTGGACTTGGGACACAAAATATACACTTGACACACTACACAGTATATGTAAAGATATAAATGCAAATGAAAAAATAAATAAATAAATCACATTGACAAGTTGTTTAATGATGTGGCCAGGGTTTCGTGAAAAATAATATAAATTTAATATGCAACTTTGCAAGAGATGATAATAGTGAACTAAAATGATGGGATTTTAACTACCGTACCTAAATTCAAACCTTGGCTCTGGCTGGCCCACAAACCTACTACCTCTTCTCATCTCTCATGGAGAGAAGAGGAGGGGAGAGGGGCGAGAAAGCCAGCCGGGTTCTTGACTCTGGACAGGACCCTCGCTAAATATACTCGAGGTATATATATAAAAGTATAGTCCAAGATCAAGTTAAACGTGAATTATCAATTATTATTTGCCGGTTAACTTTACGCAATCAAGGGAGATAGAGTAGACACTAGAGATGTTCACTCGATAAACGCAGCTGACTCTCTCGCCCCCTCAGCTGCTGCCTGCTGAGCTGAAACGAAGGTAGAGGCTAAGTCTAGAAAATCGGTGGATTAGCAGGTGCACTGCACACGGTCAGGTCAGAAAAGTGTTAATTAAATACTGTTGATTTCGGGTTATATATTTTAAGAAGAAATCTTTTTGTTTCAATTATTTCAAGTCGATATTTGGAATTGTTAAGACATCAAGTTCCAACTGGAATATCCGATTATTACGATTATATCACCTACAATCACTACGCATGTGTTTTCCAGTTAGGTGCATGAGCAGCGTAAGGTAAAAAAACTGAATGTCTTTTTCTTAGTATTAAAACCCTTTTTCACACACTACGGCATGCATTTTACTGTCAAAGTGAGTTATAAAAAATTTGTTCGTAGCTATGTTTTGTACAAATATGAAGTTTCAGAATTTGAACTGCGCACGACGAACTCTGTCCGATCTCGTATCTACGTCGTAAGATGGTAACGTTTAGGGCAGTGATATTCCGCTAGAGGGCCCCATCTTCCAATCAAAAATAAGACCAGATTCTCAGTTGCCTTTGTCACAGTTTAAGGGAAGGTTGACCGCTAAGGTATGGATTATGAGCAACAAAAAAGGTCACGGCGACGTCCGAATTTTAGAGATGACGAATTGTTAGCGCTAATAACTGCTGTCGCAGAGAGACGTTCCGTTATTTTGGGGAAGCTAGACAGTCAAGTTACCGGTCAGTTGAAATACAATGCATGGCAGGCAGTGACAACTCAAGTAAACTTGGTGTCATTTGTGACGAGAAGTTTAACGGAGGTTCGTAAAAAATTTAGCGACTTCAGGGCAATCGTTAAGAAGAAAGCTTCCAGAGGAAATCTATTGCTTGAGAGATTTCAGAGTAAGTTTGCATTACTTTAGTTAGAACTATCCAAATTGTTGTAATTGATGAAAATAGTCATCAATTTGCCTATTTTATTAAAAACGCTTCGGATATGACAGAATATATACAAATTTTAACCAAACCTCATATCTCATTTGTTTGACAGAATCTGCGTTATCAAGCATTGATGATCACTCCGTTTGAGGAGTGAAATAATCATTCAAATGAATAATTACTTGGGCCATTGATTAACATGCCATGGGCCGATTTCTTCAGTGCCGACACTTCTATTCTATTCTAGATGCGTTTCTTATAACCGCATCAAGTAATCTTGATTAGAACAGTTAATAGATAGTCCAATTATGTTATAATTTGTAAATAACTAAACGTAAAATCAGTTACTTCTTTACCAGTATCTGCAGTATGGTAATCATGGGTAATGACTCATCGTCACTTTGCGCTGAAGCAGCAGCGCGAATTTATAGTCATCGATCAAGTTAAGCTCATTCCATTGCTACACGCGAAGAAAATTTGATGCACCAAACTCTTCGAAACCGTAGAGTAAGAACTACGCGAGCGAAGACTAGTGAGAATTTTTTCTAGCCAAGCAGCATAGGTGTTGAAAAAATGGCTTCGGCATAGCCAGTAGAAATGAATTTCAACTCTTCTTCAAAGAAGTTAGCTTTCTCGCAACAGAAGATACTTTTCCAACTCTAAATAAGTAAACAAAAAACTAATCAAGAAGTTACTGGTATATCAATTTATAATTATCGCAGTCTAAATTATTGAAGGTAGAAAATTTTTGTTGGGTTATTCTAATCGAATTATGTGCAGCAAGTAACAGATGGAGGTATGCTTTAATATGAGAGTACGTGTTTGCTAACTCAGTCCTTGAATACAAGGAACCCTAATGCACGCTCAAGAGTCAAGATTATTTAATTTAAAGGAGATACGGGTTAAGTTTTTATTTATCACCGTTTGTTAAATAACAATCCATGCTATTTAGCGCCACGTTAAATATCGAGCCAACATTTTCGGAACAATCAAATTTTCCCTGTTGTAGAATAAACTAGTAACATAATGTAGAATATGGTTCTTTATACAAGAATTTTCTATGAATATGTTTGCGCTCATCGCATAGTTGAGTTGCCTGCTATAATTTAAATACTTCCTATAGTTCGGTGACTTAATGTTTAGGCGAATATAGGGTAAGACTTTACAGAATTCTGTCCCATTTTTCAGATGGGACGGAAACGATTGCATTCAAGCCTTGTGAACAGGCAATGCTCCCCTTGATACATCCTCTCGCCACGGAAGAAAGTGATGTTTTCCAGGACATCGAGGACACTGCATTAGGTGCGTAATAATTCGACATAGCGTCCGGGTGCACAACAGTTTAAGATTACATAAAAGAGAAAAGATAAAAGAGATGCGTATTTAATAACCATATTTTGGTATCAAAGTTTTCAGTGATTTTCCGAGTCTCTTACCTGTATAAGAAGGAACCATGTACGTCCTCGTAAAAGGTACACAGTTCAATACTTACTTGCTGTAAAATGTTGCATCTGCAAGCTCACATTTTTTGTCTACCATATAGTTTTCCTAGTAGTGTGGTGTTCGTGGCTTGAAGGCAAACAGTAACTTAGTACGATAAGACTACCGTTGCTGGATCATGAATGGTAAAATAACGGACTTAAAACTACGAAGTCGTTCACAATAAAATCATAAGTACTAGTATCGCACTGTTTCTCTTTGCTTCTTATAGTAGGAAGACAGTTTCACTATTAGAATGCAATTTATGATGAAAGCCGAATATTTCGTCCACAGGGCTGCCAGCGGAAGCTCACGGCGATGCAACTTTTCGTGGTAATCGAGATGACTTGCACATGGCCTACTTGGATATGCAATATGAGGACCCCTTCGGTTCTATAAAACAATCTCCCGGGTCACAAGACAAAGCCACAGAGCCAAAAGTTGAGCTGGAAGTTACCCCTGATGTAGATACAGAACAAGGTTCTTCAGTCCCTTCACAAAAGCCTAACGGTATAAATTCTTGTACAAATTATAAAGATAATACAGAAAACAGTGTATTCATACATTCCAAAGCACAGTCACAAAGTAATCCATATCAGCCTACGGAGGCGCAATCTAAAACTTCTTTCCAACCTTCAGAGGTGCCGTCTCGAAGCAGCTCATATCAGCCTGCAGAATTGTTAACACGGAATTCTTATTTACCGCCAGAAGCACAAACTCGAAACTCATACATGCCCTCAGAAGCGCAAGCTGTTAGAATAACTCCAATAATTTCTTCTCAAGAACCAACTTGTGTGACAGACAAGCCTCTCTTGAATCCAGTCATGAATCACGTCTATGAATCAATGGAAAATCCAATGAGAACAAATGCAGAGATGAATAAACACAGAGAATCTCAAATCAGATACAACGATAATGCTCAACAACTCATTAGAGAAAGTCAAGTCGGAGCTCCTCCTGATCCGACAACTCTCGGGCCACCTATCAGCGAGAGAACTGACAGTGTGACACTTATGTTCAACGACGGAAGCGAACGCACAATAAAAACTGGCGAAAATAATAGACAGACAAAGAAGAGAAAATATGGATCATCGTCAACCCACGATGAAGAGCACATGATGACCAACATGCTTGATACACAAAAGGAGATCCGGGATCTTTTGAAGTGTCTCGTGGAAGCTTCGCAACAGTCAAGTCAGGCACAACAGGCAACAGCGGCTGCCTTAAGAGAAGCCTCCGATGCTCAGCTGCGTAGCGCGCTGGCGCTGGAGAAGATAGCCTTGCAAATCCAGTCTTCTGTGCCACGGTAATATTAATAAAAAGAATTATATTTATTTCGACGGACAGATTACTCACACTTATCAACACCGGTGTAGATTTAAAATAATTTTATATTTTGTAAAATTAATTTCCTGACTAAGCGGCAAGCATTTTTAGAGTCGAGAAATTTTTTAAGGAAAAGTGAAAACGTCGCTCGCTACGAGCAGGAATAGTATGCTTAGTGTGCATAGTTATGCCTAGCATTTTATATTTGTCTCGATTCTTGTTGTCATTCATCTTGTTCATAAATGAACAATTTCACGTAGAATTGTTATAGCACCAGCCCGCCATTTAGTAGTTGCCTAATATACAACGTGCATTAGGTATTACCCGCTTGGTGTCCGGGTATTACCCGGTGCAGTAGACGTATACATATACATGCGATGCGGCTACATCATGCCATCATTAATTGTAACATTGTTAACGTATTTTTAAAGGTAACTTAAAACTATTTCATACAATTATGTTGAAAATGTTGGTCAACAGAGAATGAACAGAACGTTAACGTTATTCTTTCCAAGGTGTGAGAATATTCACGCCGACCTGGCCCAAGCTTCCAAAGTTCAGAAGTTATGAGAAGCTTTCATTTCCTCCTTTGATTATTGCTCAGTTCCAAGTTATTAAATAGCTACATGACTAAAGGTGTTGATAATTTAACAGATGTTATGCCTACACCAATTCGTTCAGCTCAATGCTGAAATACGATACGTTGCAAGGGTTGCAATTAAAGTATTATTGCGCATATCCCAACAAAAACCAGCATGACATAAACACTGTTAATGCAACAAAAAAAATCGCGATTTTCGTCGAAGCAGGTTTAAAAATCAATAATTCTTTTCATCATGTTTATTTAAAATAATGTTTGAAGTTAGTCTTCGATTCTTAGTAAGAACAGATGAAACTATATTCAATCATAATGACAGAGTCCAAACACATAGAGCATATAAAATGCTTATGCATTACTTAAAATCGGGTATAAAGTCGTTCCATGAACAACTTGCGTTCTTAACGATTTTCCACGATATTTTACTCGGGTTGACGTACTTCGGTCCGGCTTATCAATCTAAATGGAAGTTGAATTCGATAAGAGTGAAACGAAGCCAGTTCGTCAACTAAACGTACACGTACTTAACGGAAATGGAATCGACAATATTAAAAACTTCTTATCTTGCACTTCGTGAGTGAGGATACTCGCCAAGTCAATCAAAATCGAGCACTGGTGTGGGATGGGTTGAGCTTGTCAAGCAAAAGAGCGCTCAAGTTGCACTTGGCATGTCCGCAAATGAGCAGCAAGAAGACCAGCAGAAGGTTCGGCTGAGGCATCGAGATCAGTGAGGTACGAGGCCAAGCGGTCAAGACTTAGCTCCTTCAACAGACGTCTGCTCAACAAGGTGGTAAAAAATAATGAATACCACCAAAATTTCATCCGATCCGAAATTTTAACTTCAATGTGGGAAATCAGCCAATTTGAAAGTCAAAGGTTTCATAGGATTAAGATTGAAAAATTAACACAAGTCAATTATCATCATATGGTGATAATTGACTCAAAACAAAATAAGCGAGAAAAAGAAAAGAGTACCTGTCGTGAGGTGTGAGGGAGGCTGGAGGACACTCGAGTAGATGGTTGAAAAGGTAAGCCATAACGCGCAGCAAGTGGTGTGGCTCCCTCTCTGTCTCCCAGACGCTCTCGCCGCTGCGGTACAATCTGCAAAGCCGAAAGTAACAGCATACATTGATATCTAATCCATTCTCTGGGCAACTACTGAGAGTTGAAACGACATATGATCGTACGAAGAAGGTGAAATAACGCGCTGGAGGTATGTTGTGATCTGTAGGGCGATAATTAAAACAGCGTGGTAGGTGTTCAGTAGTCTGCTGATGGTGACAACTCACGCGTGGTAGGTGTTCAGTAGTCTGCTGATGGTGACAACTCACGTGTGGTAGGTGTTCAGTATGGTGACAACTCACGTGTGGTAGGTGGTCAGTAGTCTGCTGACGGTGACAACTCACGTGTGGTAGGTGGTCAGTAGTCTGCTGATGGTGACGCCGCAAGACAGTAGAGCAGAAACAAGCCAGCCAACACAGCCCTCGCTGGCAGCCTTCAGACGCACGGACTGCACCTCGCATAGCCTGATGATGTGCTCTGCAATATAGGATTAGTAAGAGTATTGTAAGGTGCATTGGAACGATACAGTACGCTGCATATCAAACACAGATATGAAGTGCAAGTTGTGATAACAGGGTTCGTACCGGTATATAGAAAAAAAAATCCATGACTTTTCCGTGACTCTCCATGACCATCAATATAATTTTCCAAGACTCGTCGTATACGACAGGTTTAGCATGACTGAAAGGCAAACTGTGCATATTCTATCATCTCCTAGAGTTGATAAATGGCAAACGTGTAAATGCATAGAGCAGGCAGACAAAGAAGAATAAAAATGACGCAAATCTGAAAATCAAGCCCACACTTGTATTATTATGAATTCAATAGCGTCAAATGACAACAAATATTGAGTAATGCACACAAGATTATACATGATAATGTCAATACAGTCCAGAACACTCTTCAACACCACTACCCTAACATTCAACTGATAGCTATTTCATCAATTTTTTCTTTAATGTTCAGTTCAAAAGTGTCTAGCTCCTGTTTCTTTGTTTTCAAAGATCGCCTCATGGATGGCGTTGAACTTTGCGATAATTTTAAAATCCCTCTTTCTCTCCATTGCTTCTGCATATTCATCTGCTGCTTGCTCAAGCGCCTTGATGCCCTCCTCCGTACGTTATTTCTTCTTCTTCAGTTCATGTAGCTCATTCAACAAAGCCTTCCTCTTCTGGGTTTTCTGGGTCTTCGCATTCTGCTTTTTCTCTTCTGCCAAATAGGTACCCTGTATTGAAGGCTGTTTTGGTACTGGGAGCTGCAAGCAGCATCTTCTTGGTGATGGTCATCTTGTCTAGGCTACCAACATGTGCAACATGAACAACCACAGTACGCAGGGCAACCACCGTTCACTCTTTCATGTTGTGTGTCATGATTTCCTAGTTGAACGAAAAGCCTCTTTCAACCGTGGCTTGGCCATGAGACAGGAGGATGAGCATCTGCACTATATTCCAGAGCTTCTTGCAGGTGCTCTTTGACAGAATGGCATGCCAAAAAGTGTCCAGTCGATCAGATACCACCAGGCTCACTTGATTGGTTCTCCAATCAGAACGCAGGAAACAAGAGACTGCACAAACAGTAAACACACGTAACACAGAAAAAAACTTCCTTTTTCTTCTTGTATTTGCAAATTAAATGACTGTCCATAAAATGAAATGGAATCCAATGACTTTCCAGGCCTGGAAATGAAAAATCAAATTGCATGACTTTCCAGGTTTTCCATGACCGGTACGAACCCTGTGTGTACAAACCAATACGATTTTGCAACATTCTTAAAATAAACAGGGGCGCAAAAGTGGCTCGACTAAAAGAATCTTGCAATTGGAATGAAGTGCGGTTTCAATGCTAATTTGTTTCAGAGAGCTAATTTATGGAGTTTTTAGCGGGATGAAGTTGAGACTCGTGCAAGGGAAGTGTGAACTTTAATTAAAAGAAACGTAAAAATTTTTTCCGAATAAAGTAATAAATTAACCAAAAAAAGTAAAAACTTTTTCCAGAGAAAGTGAGAAATTAACCAAAGAATAGTAAGACTCCGCCTACGAAGACGTTAGAATGGTCAATTGGTCGATGGAAAATAACGTCTCACCCAGGGGAAAATAAGGAGGTCCATTAGGTAGAACGCACCTAATGGATGAATAAGGAGGATCAACTGAAGACTTAGTAAGAACTTACCCAATGGGAAGTAGCTGGGGCTGCTGCTGTACAGATGAGCAAGGGCTTTGAGAGAGGCAGCAAGGCGGTCCAGACGTTCAGAGACAGGCGCGCCCTGACTCTGCTGCAGCTCCTCGTCTATGATGTGCGACCACAGCGACTGCAGGGTCGACATAAACAGAAATATATATACGAGATGATCGAGAATGATTTATATAGCTACTTATCGATAGTGATATTTACTGTAAAAAATAATATAAATTCTCCAAATTCTGCTTCCAACCGAAACTCCACTAGACAAAAACACGAGATTAAACACTCGACTGAAATTATTGCCATTTTAGCAGGTTATTCGCTAATATAACTTTTTAAACATAGTGAGAAAGCAGAAATGTAAGAAAATCAACGCAATGACTGATCTGAATTTTCAATAGTGGCCATTTTACGGCTACACAAATTATAAAAAGCTAGCTTGGTTAATTCGGCATTGCCCGCGTTTGATAATCTCTGCACTTTTATAATCCGGTTTTATCTATCCAGTTAATAATAATGAAACCATTGTATGCCGATCAAAGAAAGAACAGTTCCAACCCACATTTAAGATAGAAAGTAGTCCCATTTGACTCTAGTTTCAAGAAAATAAGGAAAATATCTTGTGCCCTTTAAATTGAATTCTACATGCTTTTTAGTTCAATCCATTCTTCCCAGACTTTTGATACCTTACTTTTCATTTACTAATAATACTTTTTCAGATCTTGGAAATATCCCGACCTGAAAAAAGTCCTACTTAACAACCCCTTTATATTTTTGGTGCCATGATTAATACACAAATTTTGACATACATACATACATACAAAAGAAAAATTTACTTTGCTTGTTCTAGCATTTTAATAACAGATACAAAACCTAATTTCATATTAGCCGTCAGGTTGACACTGACCTGCACGAGTTGCGGTTCACTGTGTCCAGCGCAGGCAACGATTGCTAGTTTACATCGCCATAAGCCATAGGGCTCAGCGAACTGCTCATACAGCGTGGTGATGTCCAGCAGAGAACTGTCCAGACGTTGCATGGTCGTCTCGTCCGCACCTGCAGCTCGCACGCCCTCCAGTACCTGTTGTTACCAAACCAGCGGTCAGTTCTGGGCATATTGGGAACCAGTGATCAGTTCTGGACATACGGTATTGGGAACCAGTGATCAGTTCTGGACATTGAGAACCAGGGATCAGTTCTGGGCATATTAAAATGGTACTGAGATAGATGTTTATGTAAGGTGAGCAAGAAATCAAAAACTGCCAATTATCGTGATGACCTTAATTGTTGATCGTGATGAACATGGGTGCCTGTGCATATGAAATTATTTTCGTACTTCTTTAAGCTTTGCGCGATACAGGCTTTTCTCTTCCTGGTAAAACCGTTATTTTTTCACTCACCATGAGTTGCACACGCGCCACTTCTTTTTTCTCCTCGAGGTGCAACAAGAAGTCTGTGAAGGCAGTCGCGGTGTTCATTTCACAAGCGCTCAAACACATCAGAGCGCGCGAAAGCTGCTCCACACGTTCTCTCAGGCATGTCGACCTGCCAAGTAATAATTAAGTGAATAAATAATAATCAATGCAGCAGTGCACCATGTAAATTACATCGCAATGAACTCATTACTAGGCGCTTGTTACAGAATTTCCTGACTATTTCTTCGGTAGGATTGGGTATCAGATGAAGATATAGTCTATCCGCCTATTTCACAACTCTCTAACCTAAAACGTGACATAAAACTAAACTAAAACTTTTATTTAGATAATTTACTTCATTTGATAAGTGCATTTATTTTCAGCCAAATATCCCTAATCAAAAATTCACTAGGAAAACTTCGTAAACAATTGTAGAACAAGGTACGTCAGTCAACACAGCAAATTTTTTTTATAGTCACCCGAGTATTTGCCTCGCAATAATGATGTCTGCTTCCACAAAAACCGACACATCCTATCTAACAATAACTAGCAGGTTAGCCCAACGCTGACCTAATAGATAATCGTTGCAATTCGAGAATTCCGTTATTACAAATCACGAATCAAGAACCCTATAACCTCGCATTCACTTGAAACTAAATTACTGTAATTAAAGAAGGACCTGTTCAGACCCACATTTATCACGGAACTCCCATTGAAGTCGTGCTTAGAATTATAAAGTTAATTTGGACGGTCCATTTATGAGTACGCTTCATAGTTAGCAAATTAAAATAAACATTTTAATTTTAAATCAAACTAACCTCTACACTTAGCTAAGTCACATGATTTCACTATTAAAAATGAAATTTTAAGGTGATATGTATCACGCTACGATAAGCACAGTATTGAAGATACGAGCCTGAATAGCTCTCTATAATCATTTCCGTTTTGCAGGCTAGGAACAATCACATACGAATTAATATACAATTTATATACCTACCTATATCCTCAACTTGAATAATTATGTACGTATCTAGAAAGTAATGAACCACAAACCCAGGTTGGTCAGCGAGCAGAGCGAGGGTACGGGCAGCGTTATAATATTCCTTGTTGCGTTCATAGAGACGCCAGAGCAGGTCAAGGCGGGGGGTCGGGGGCGCCTTGAGGAACCCTTCAAGCGCAGGACACTGCAGCGCCAGCACCTGGTCTGTGCGTCCAGAGTCCAGCAGCCACTGGATTAGTGACACCTGTGCCAGCTCATCCCCGCTGCGGCACACCATCTCCATCATCTGAGCCAGGATAATGGATTAGATGTCTCCATTGTTGTGATAGTGTAAATTGATCCAGCAAATGTGATGTGTGAGAATATGGATCGTAATTACTTAAATTTCCGTTGGAAGGTAATGGTCACAAAAATGCATTGTATTTTTTGATTTAATATACAATACTAGTATTAGAATAATAAATTTGTTCAACAATTTTGCTTATAGAATAAAATGGAAAACATTCAGTACCGTAACGGCAAATAATTAGAAGTAGTAACTTTAATCTCAGCTGCCAGAACAAATGATGCAAGGAAGTCGGATCATTTTATACACAACGGTACAAGGAGACATAATTATAATGATCAGCATAACGGGAATTGAATCAAGAATATGAAAAAAATTCCCGCCTGTTGAGCTTGAGATGAGGCTTCATGAGGGGGAGCACATGGGGGGGCAGGGGGTCCAGGCCGGCGGGGGACAGAGGCAGGAGAGGAGAGTTCTTGGCCGCCGCTGCCGCTGCTGCTGCCCATCAGCTGAGCCAAGTGCTCCATGATCACGCGGTAGCACTCCATTCTGTACACCATCAGATTGTACACCAATATTTAGGCTCAGTGACAGTAATTATTTTACGAATGCCGCAATAAAGATGTATGACACGACAATATTTAATTATCTGCCTATAATAATCACTTTATTTTTAAATAGAATTGAAAAAAGTTGAAATAATAAAAGAAGCACACGGAACGTTCAAGTTTAGCCAAAAGAGGTCCTACTACGAGAAAAGTGTCATCATCATAATATGCAAAAGAATGTTTCAATACACAAGATAATAGTGTAAGAACCTGGTGGTAAAAGCAGCATGTCCCTTAGTGTCATGAGAAGGCCGACCCGCCTTGTAGAAGAGCAGCGCACGTCCCTCCTCGTCGCGCTGCGCCGCCACACTGAGAGCGAGGTCCACGAGGCCCGTGTAGCATCCACCGCCCGCCAGTTGCGCGGCGACACCCGCCACGTTCACGCAACCTCCCACGCCCTTGCACAGCTGAAATATTTCGTTTCACCGTTTTAGGAACTAAGATCATTAGTTGCACTACTCGCAAATCAATCAAAATTAATCGGAAGGCAAAGAATTTGCCATGAAGTCCCCGCACTTCAAACTAAAACGTCTAATTATTCACTGATTATGGTATGTCGAATTTTTCGTCATTTGATTCACGTGCAATTTTTTTAGTGAATATGACAATAACATCGACAAAATAATTTGAAACTGCAAAGCTGATAAAATTTTGTTTTTGAAACCATCATTCTTTCAAACCAAAATACTTATTCGGATGGTTAGAACGGTTCACATCAACCAGACTGGCACAGCACTCACAGCAACAGCCTGGGCATAACACTCACAGCAACAGCCTGGGCATAACACTCACAGTAACAGCCTGGGCGAAGGCAGCGTCACGATCAGCAGGGGAGGCCGCTGTCCGCGCGCTCAGGATGAGCTGACTGGCGGCGCTGAGTTGCGCGTCTTCAGCGCGGTAGAGCGACGGGCAGCTCGAGCGGAGCTGACGTGAAATGGTCGACACGGAGGCCTCATCTCCATGGTATCTGGGCAGCGAGCGGTCACGGTCAGAGTTAAAACTGATCCATCATAGCGGCAAACAAGATTATTATTTATAGACTTCCCTCTTATTACCTGACCAGCTAATGAGATCGAAACATCACAGTCGTGACTTCAGAATAAGCTTTTTCTCACGAATTGTATTCAAGGTAGAGGCCAATGAATTGAAGTTTCAACGAAAAAATCTATGGTTTGTCAGAGCTCCAGTTAATTGGCAGACAATATTCAACCATCATGCACTCGCGCCGATTTCATGCCTTGAAATTGAAACTAGAGTTCTATACATGTCAAATCCAAATATACATCATCTTTCAGTACAGTCCATTTACATTTAAACACAAGCTAATGTAATATAAAGATTGACTACAAACAATGAAAACCCTATGCCAGATAATCTAATGGAAGGAAAGGGGTTCTTATGAGATCGAGAACCAATGGTTAACATTGGTTCTCTTCATTGGTTCTCCCCATTGGCATAACAACTCAGCAACTTGTCATCATCATTTGACTTCAAGTAAACATATTCTAATAGACTGTGGGCGTCAAAGAACAACAAATCTTTACTAGTATAGATACCAACAGATCAGAACATCCGTGACCAACGTTATCATTTTGATGGATGATTTGACCTGTCCAGAAGAGCCACAACCTGGTTATTTTGATAGTTAATTTCATCGCTCACCTGTCCAGAAGAGCCATAACTAGAGCCCGGCACACACTGGAGCCTGACAGCGCCAGGTCACGCAGCGTAAGACCTCGTAGCTGCTCCTGTTCAGCCTGTCGTACAAAGTTTTGTATTTGAGAGACCCAGAAAGGAAGTCCAAGGTCTTAATTGATTTACGTTAGAGGTCAACACTTCACCATTGTCTCGCCAATCCTCTACTGTCAGGATGTTCAATTTTTTGTAGCTGCCACAAAAAACGTAAATAGATGAACTCGAGTCATAGAGAAGCAAATTAAATAGAGGATTTTACTCTTTAACACGTTGACTACGATTGCTTCATCTTGTACAATTCTTTCATTTTTTGTACTTTTTTTTTAAGCAGGGTTGCCAGCCAGACGGTCATTTTTACAACACTTCTCTTTAACTTCACTTCTTGTTTGTTTGTCTGTCTGTCTGTCTGTCTGCTACAAATCTTGTAATCAAAATTTAATACACTTCTACTTATCCTATCGATCTGAAATTTTGCACACTCGTGTAAAGTTGGAGACAATGCATAAATCAAATGTCAAAATAAATTATTTAAAAAAATAAAAATTTTTTTTCAATATTAAAAAATTGAAAAAGTAATTTTGTCAGCTACAAATCTTATAACTGATATTTGCCACACTTTTACCTTTCTAATTGATCTGAAATTTTGCACACTTGTGTGAAGTCAGAGGCAATGCATGAATCAATTAATAGAATAAATAATTTTGAAAAAAATTTATATATTAAAAAATTGAAAAATTAAATTTTTTAATATTCGAAAATTAAACGAAAAATTCATTGTACATCTCTAAGATTGAAGACACTGGATTCTTTGGAAGTGTTGTCTTTAAAAAGTAATTTTTAAACGTATATTATTTCCGGACAAATTCCATGATTTAGTTTTCTCAATTTCTTTGGCAGGCTAAAATTTATGATAGGGGTACTTCCTAATTAAATTTTAAATACTGCAAAAAGAAAATAAATGGAATTTTTATAGCGAAACCTACAAATAAACTAGTATACATTGAATTATCGGCCTTTTTTGTTCACGGATTTGGCCGATTTTAGGCAACCTGAATTATGTACCACTACGTCCTGGAGCAATACATTTCGTGGTACGCATATGTACCAATACGTAGTCAACGTGTTAAGAGAAGCAAAGTAAGTAGAGGATTTTACTTTATAAGAGAAGCAAAGTATATAGATGATTTTACTGTTTAAAAGAAGCCCAGTAAATAGAAGATTTTACTCTACAAGAGAAGCAAAGTAAAGAGAGGATTTCACTCTATAAGAGAAGCAAAGTAAACAGAGGATTTTTCACTATAAGAGAAGCTAAGTAAATAGAGGATTTTACTTAGCACTTGCCTCGTGTGTACGTCAGCATAAATTAGATAAAATACTGATATCTTGACACTATAGAATTGTTCACGGAAGCACCATTAGTTTATTTGTAATCTACATATCCTGATTTTCATTATTCAAAAGACTCACATAAATTTTTTACTAAAAATTGCCAAATTCAATGTTAGTTCACATCATGATTAGAGAAACCAGGATGTAAATCTTTACAGTTTTTATTTATACGAAGATGGTGCTGTTCCAAGCATTGTTCTTCCTAAAGTAAATACCTATACGTAAAGCTATTAGGGACTACCAGCAGTCCGAGACTGGCTAAGAACTAACAACCTGAGCAAATGCAAGGATATAACATTTTTACCTGCGAGCAAATCTTAGATGCACTGCAAATGACTTACAGTGGGCAGCTGTGAGATGATGGCTGGCAGCTGATTATTGGTGAGAAGTGCCCAGAGGCGAAGCAGCTGCAGCAGGTGTCGTAACAGCTGCAACACGGCAGCTATGCTGCGCGCCTCGTCGCCACTGCTGCAGCGAGCCACCAAACCACCGTTCGTGTGGCTTCTGCGGTTCGTACCGAACCGAGTTAGTATTAGTTATTACTATGTATATGGCTAACGAGTGATGATCGTTCAAAACCCAAATAGAGGTATGCGGTAAACATAAGACAGAAAACTGATTAATATTAATTCCTAGTTGAAATAATCTCATCACAACGAGCAGTGGCCGTCATGTCCGGAAAACCTCAATTACACTAACTGAACCATCTGGAGGCATGAAATGTTAGAGATATAGTTGTATCATTAGTCTATTCAAATCGCAAAGTCATCAAAAATTACAAAGAAAATATTACTCTTGCTTTCTTAGGCTTCTGAATAATGGTGAACGGCAGTTCCATTTTTGCCAATCATCCCTTAACAGGATAGGGAGCTTGTTTGGCAGCAATCACATAAGAAAGCTTTTATTCGTTTGGTATCATTCATTTGGATGCTCATATCGTCTTGTGACAATATGAATTGAGTTCACACTTACCCAGAGGTGGGAGGAGGAGGCTGGGACGGTGTGCCGTCAGGAGGATTGCCAATAAAGCGAGCCAGCAACTCAACATGACGAGCCAAGTAGACACACTCTTCTGATGACAGCGAACTCTCGCTCTGACAAACACAGGTTCGCTTATATTAAATCAATAAATGAAACAAACCAATGCATGAAGGAAGTTATCTTCAATGAAGGTTGCAAAGTATAAATTTGTATCCTAAATTCCAATTAATCATTGATTTTTACACATAAATATAAGGTCTCTTATGCGGTAGAGTGTCTCACAAGTTGCGTGGACGGGTCGGTAGGGAGGAGGGGTGCCGCCCAGACAGGCCGCAGGATGCGGGCCAGGTGCAAGTATAGGGACGTGTGTAGAGCAGAGGAGTCCTCGGTCGACTGTTGTGTCGCGACCGCACGACTGTCTGATGCTGAACCCTGCTGCTGCTGAACTCCTGCTGGCGTCGACATCTGCGTCGGATGGAAAGCTGCAAAAATAAGAAAATTAGTTCGTTATGTCTGCGCTCTGGCTACTTGACTAATTATGATGCCAACAGAGGAAGGAGCAATAAATAGTTAGTTTTTGTTGGAGTAATCCAATAACACGGGTAAAACTGTAAAGCCAATACAATGTGGGTGCTCGTGATGCTGAGACATACGCATCAGACGATCGTCCATACGCAAACAAAAAGAAAATTAATATATGAGGTCTCATTTTTAAATATAATTATCGGGTAATGACGGCCTTTAATTAGTAATAGTATGCTTTCTAGCGCTTCAGAAATCGTGATCTGTTTCTGGCGGCCTACAAGGGGTAGTGATCTAGTAAATAAATCAGTAAAATTGTTAGTGATGGCAGCAGTGATGCGTGGTAGTACAACTAACAGTAGCTCTGGTGCAGCTGAGAAGAGGCCGCGAGAGCAGCAGGAGCAGCTGAGCCGTAGCGGAACAAGCACTGAGTTGCTGCCTGAGCCACCTGAAATGAAGAGATTTTTACACGCTTCCTGCCAGTCCAGTTGGAACGATATTATTCTGTTGATAAATTCTGGAATAGATTTTTATATAAACTAAAATGAAGATGAACCAATAGATTATTCAGAGTGAGTTTGTGTGTCGCACAGCAATAAACCACAAGATAGCAGACATCACTAATATAAAAAAAGTTAGAAGTCGTGTAGTCGTGTAGATAGGAAACTATAGAAGACAAAATGAATCAATCGAGTACACAAACCCATATTACTCATTCTGCATCACTGCTGACAACAGAGATAAATAAAGCAAATTTACCTGGGTTGCAGCAGGGCTGGGATCAGTAGCCAACAGGAGCGCTACGCTGCAGGCCTGAGTGGAGCCCAGGGCCGAGAAGAACTCTTTCACCAAGACGCTGTCAGCTCCTCGTCCGTCCTGAGGAACAAAATGCAGGTTAAAGGTTTGCGGCACCTCAAACCTTCAAGGAAGTACAAATAATTTGAAGCAGGCATTCTAAATTAGAAGAGACTACCTTACATTTAATACAAAGGTATATATATTCTAGTGGCGTTATCGCAGGATGTTAACAATAGAGTCTAGAGTGGAAAAGCATAAATATTTAGAAAATCACCGTCACATGCTACTTGGATTTTATGTTTAATTGAAAGTAAACTACGCATTTGATTCAAGTGAAAAGCTAGCATTTAATCACGTTATGAAAAAGCAAATTGGTTTTACGAAAGAAATACGTCAGCCCGCGATAATACACGATTTTGTATTAATGAGAAATACTAGTTTCTATCACAGAATTATCATCTGTGCTATAGTTTCTGCCGTACGACCAACAGTGGAAGGAATTTGGTGACCCATTACACCCCATGATGAAAAATTTGGTGAAGCATATGGCTATACCATGACAGAGATTTGGCGACCGCTCACCGCTGTGCAAGATTAGCCACAAAGCGAAAAATTTGGAATTGATGCAGCTAAGTTAAGGCAGAGTGCACGCCAATGATGAATGCAATGAGTATCGTATGACCTGGAGCAGATGGCGCAGCTGGTCGACAGGTCGCAGGCAGGTGAGGAGGTGAGCACCAGCAGCAGAGAGCACCACCAGCTCCCGTGGTGGTTGGTGCAGCTGCGTCACTACCAGCGGCGACCGAGGCTCCTACACAGAACAAAACAGAGGGTATCACACTTATTACGAGACATTTCTTGAGGAATAAATCATGTACATGTAACCAATGAAACGTGATTTATTAACTATAAGCTAAAACTAATTACCTTACTAACTAACTTTCGTCACAAATGTGATGAAATTTGTCTGTAAAATTTTCTCTATGTAATTTCTTTGAAAAAAATTCGTATTGTGCGTGAGGGTCTTACTCACACCAGACGTGACACACCAGCACTCAAACCAGACGTGATACAGCAGCACTCACAGCAGACGTGGTACACCAGCACTCACTGGAGACGTGGCACACCAGCACTCACTGGATCAGACGTGGCACACCAGCACTCACTGCAGACGTGGTACACCAGCACTCACTGCAGACGTGGCACACCAGCACTCACTGCAGACGTGGTACACCAGTACTCACTGCAGACGTGGCACACCAGCACTCACTGCACACGTGGTACACCAGCAATCACTGCGGACGTGGCACACCAGCAATCACCGCAGACGTGGCACACCAGCACTCACTGCAGACGTGGCACACCAGCACTCACTGCAGACGTGGCACACCAGCACTCACTGCACACGTGGTACACCAGCAATCACTGCGGACGTGGCACACCAGCAATCACCGCACACGTGGCACACCAGCACTCACCGAAGATGTGGCACACCAGCAATTATCGCAGACGTGACACACCGACACTCACTGCAGACGTGGCACACCAGCAATCACTGCGGACGTGGCACACCAGTACTCACCGCAGACGTGGCACACCAGCACTCACCGAAGACGTGGCACACCAGCACTCACCGAAGACGTGGCACACCAGCGTGACGTGGGAGTGACGTCAGCAATGGCCCAGATGACGCCATCGACAGCGAGGACGGCAGCGCTCTCAGCGAGCGTGGCGTGTTGCGGGAATTGTTCAGGGGAGACGCTCCACAACACGTCGCTGTCGGGCGCCTCACTCGCGCACAGCACGGAGCATCCTGAGGCGTGTAATTTCGATTTGCACAATACAGGTAGAGGCATGTAACTTGCAATTACTTTTTCAAAGAAGCATAATAAAAGTAATGTTGACGTTAATGAGTAATGTTAACGTTAATGAGTAATGTAAACGTACATTGTTGAGGTATAAAAACATATTCTTATCACATTTATTAATCTGCAGTAAAAGTTACACTTGGCGGGGTTAAAGTACTGACCATTGCTGTATAGCGCTTTGTGTACGCGGGTGGGGCGGTGGGTGAGGGAGTTGGCAGAGAAGCCTGGAGGCAGACGGACGTGCACCAACTGCAGGTGGTGGGGCCGCGCACTGGCGGGAGAGGCGGCCGCAGTTGCTGTGAAGTAAAGCCGGACGCCACAGCCTGAAGAGACAAGAAGCGTTGTGAATATCAACATGAAAGACATTTTATAGTTGATGGACGCACGAGGAATATTAACAATGCTAACCATTGAGACTCACTCGTGAAGGCCAGCAGGTGCAGCCAGCTTGCTTCAGAAGCCGTCAGGGCGCAGATGCTGACGATGCTTTTGAAGTTCGCCTTATCGACGGTCCTGGAAGACGGGATACTTTAGTGAAATACATTTGACCAAGATGAAAACCGAGATCAAAACAAGTCAATTCTAAACATTTGTAAATGTTCACAACTTGATAATTTCTCTGTGCAGTGAGCCCACCTGGCAGCAGCAGAGGCAGCAGTCATGATCGTGGCATGTGTTAATGTAGCAACACGTGTACACGCGCCGCCCTCGATGTCATACAGGCTAATGCTGCCGCGTTCGCTCAACGTGAAGAGACAGCAACGACTTTCGTCTACGTCAATCTGTTGATGTACACTTCATTATTAATCTACTGGCGTCGTTACGATCATTGTACCTCGGTCTCTACGTGGTGTAAAGTTTGAGAGGAAATTATCAAAACTGTTACATTTATAGTGCATTTGAAGCCCTATGATGACGTCACTGTATGGCACTTGCTTCACTGCCTTAAAACATAGACTATATGAATAAAAGATAATTTACAATAACTAAATTAAAAATAACTAAATACTTTGAATTATGACTCCTAATTAATTTTTATCGGATTTCAAACAATAAAATAATTAACAACTGCAGCTGCAGGCGCATAGTTACAAATTCTGACCAAGACCACACACCTGAATGAGGCAGTCCTGCTCAGAGAGTGTCAGGAAGGAGGGCAGGAGGGAGGCCAGTGCAGAGCGGGAGTGGTTCACTTTCTGACACTTGCGGCTAAACCAACCTTCCTCTGCCTGTGAATATAGCAACACGTTAACCTATACAGAAATTCATGTACATCAGGCTATGAGAATACAATATCAGCAAGCTGTAAGGATAAAGGATGAATATAATACCCTACTATAAAAAGTAGCATTTGCATTCAAAAATAAATGCTCGAATATAGAACACGAGTTTTGCTATTGGTGAGATATGAAGCTGCACATTTGGCACGTCCGACTATTCACAAGTTAACAGGATGAATTTTTGTTAAGTTTATATGATCTAAAGTAACAATTGACTAACATGGGCACGTAATTTCAAAATGAATTATACTGTACCTTAAAATGTGGTAACTTTGACCGGCGGGGTAACTTTGACCACTTTTCGTTTTTTTAACAAAAACCCCCAAAACTCAAAAACGATTTGACATAGCAAATTTTTGTCAATGGCCATCAAAGGCCTAATACTGAGGCTACATAACACAATAGAAAGATTTAAAAAGTTTGCATATCTAATAGGTTAAAAAATTAATAATGTGACCCACGAAAAAGAGCTATTATTTAAAGCCTGTCAGAGTACCCCCTCCAGTTTTTTTATTTTTCGGTAAAATAACTCCAGGTTTTGATGCATTGTAGTAGAACTCTTCTAGTTACATATGCAAAAGACAAATTTTAGGAAAGTGTCATAGTTTGCAAATGGGGGGCGCCGCCCCCTAATGGGGTAACTTTGACCACCTGATGGCAGCCGTGACGGGGTAAACATTGACTGGCTTGGAAATTAAGTTAAAATTACCATAGGTACCTATATAACATATTCTATGTTTGATACACCTATTGTTTTTTTCTTTATGTTTCAGACTCTACAGAGTCTTATATATGGTAATTTTAACTTAATTTCCAAACCGGTCAATGTTACCCCGTCACGGCTGCCAGTAGGTGGTCACATTTCGCCCATTGGGGGGCGGCACCCCCATTTGCAAACTATGACACTTTCCTAAAATCTGTCTTTTGCATATGTAACTAGAAGAGTTCTACTACAATGCACCACAACCTGGAGTTATTTGGAGTTATTTTACCAAAAAATAAAATTGATTTTACCACCCGGTCAAAGAAATCCCAAAGAGCTGGGGTAACAAAGACCTTCACTTTTTTTGAAATTACATCAAAACTATGAGAGGCAGGAGCCAGCAATTTATGGTGAGTAAAGCCAGAGTATAGACCTGTATTTTGCATGTTTCAATTCAAGTTTAACTTATCTAGTAAAAAAATGGCATCATTTTGAAAAAAAAGTGGTCAAAGTTACCCCATTTTACGGTAATAGCAATGAAATTTATTATAGCAAGAAATTCATGGACAACAGATACGAAATAGATTATTTTTGGACAGAAAAGCAACAAAAGACGTAAGATTGACAGAAGATATGTAAAGAAAATCTTCAAGATCTAAAATTAGGGAGCATGACTAATGCACTCCATGGCAACTGTATAACCCCTTTATTTACTGACGGTCTCTCCAGTTACCAGTCAAATATGGCAATGATGATGTTTGATGTATCCGTAAAAAAAAAGGTTAGAGTGAATGCATACCTGATAGAGGAGCTCCCAAAGGGCACCGTCCCTGCCGCCCATGAAGAGACGGCCGGTGCTGGTGGCCGTGACGGTCGCGAGCACAACGCCATCGTTGGCTACTGAGAAGAGCGGTTCTGGCAGCAGCGTCAGGCATGACGTGCTGTCGTCTGCGATGGAGCAGTGACAGTAAATCACCAAGGAAACATTCAGAATGCAATAACTGTATAACAGAATACAATGATTTAAACTAAAAAATTTCATGATTATACCAAAATATACTAAAAACTAAACAGAAACACTAGTATTTAAATTTTTAATTTATTTTTTAGAGTATTTATACATGAATCGCTAATTGGTATTGAAAGAAGCACACTAACCCTCCAATGCTTGAGAGAATGTGACGCCAAGCAGCAGAAGTTCAGAGGGCGTGGTGAGCACCAAAAGGTGTTCAATGTAAGGCTTGAACACACCAGGTTTGGGCTTGATAAGGGCAACAGCCAGAATGGTGTCTTGCAGGCCATCAAAATAAGCCAAGTCGCTCCTGCAATTATATTCACACTCATCACAAAAAATTTAGCTGAATGAATTTCTTGTTAGGACATCAATTTCAACATAATAATCTTTACCATGATTGATATGCACATTTTCCTGTTGTATTAGCATAGAAATGAACAAAGTACAGTAATGCTGCTCCATCCTCAAGTACATATTATGCAGCCAATACGTTCTGCCAATTGTCATGCAGAGCACAAGACAGCAAAATTAATTCCCAGGATATTTCTCAAGCATTGCCTGACACAACGGTACACCTAGCACATTGAAGTTTTCCTGATGGAAAATATACCATTTTCTGAAAATATTTCATTGTTTGAACTTTATAGCAATCAACTGAAAGTCACCTCAATAAACATTTCATCAAAGAAACTATAAAACTATGTCAAGGTTCATCAAATGTATGGACGTTTTAAGGTACTAGTATAAGAATGCTAGGCTGCAATGTGCTCTGAGCATGACAGAATATAAGCTTACCCATCTTTGTACATCCAGACATAGATGGCACTGTCGATGGTCAGCCATGCCCTACCAATCTCAGGGAAGAGCCCCATCATACAATTGCATTGCATGTCTGAACTACAAGGTCAAGGAGGAAATACCAGAGCAGAAGTTTATCATGAAAATTGTAATTACTGTAAAAGTACATAAATATCTGGGTTGGATTGACACTATACAGATTTATTTATACATATAGTACATAATGACAAGTTCAGAAATTTAGGCTATGAAAGCCACATAAGAATTCAACATGATAATTAACATATGTACCTGTCTACTTCAAGCCAATATAAATTGGAATGGCCAAAATTGCCCAAGAGGTAAAACAAAAAAAAAAAAAAAAAAAAAAAATTGCAGATAATGCATGAGTAAAGGGACCAATGAAAGTGGTGTGGAAACAATTAGGCTAGTGGAACTATTCTCATAGTGTGGAGGTGACGCAAGGCAGCATTGGAGCTGCTAGACCCAGAGCCACATGGATAATCACTTTCACTAAGACCACTGACTGTAACCTAGAGTATAGACCTGTATTTTGCATGTTTCAATTCAAGTTTAACTTATCTAGTAAAAAAATGGCATCATTTTGAAAAAAAAGTGGTCAAAGTTACCCCATTTTACGGTAATAGCAATGAAATTTATTATAGCAAGAAATTCATGGACAACAGATACGAAATAGATTATTTTTGGACAGAAAAGCAACAAAAGACGTAAGATTGACAGAAGATATGTAAAGAAAATCTTCAAGATCTAAAATTAGGGAGCATGACTAATGCACTCCATGGCAACTGTATAACCCCTTTATTTACTGACGGTCTCTCCAGTTACCAGTCAAATATGGCAATGATGATGTTTGATGTATCCGTAAAAAAAAAGGTTAGAGTGAATGCATACCTGATAGAGGAGCTCCCAAAGGGCACCGTCCCTGCCGCCCATGAAGAGACGGCCGGTGCTGGTGGCCGTGACGGTCGCGAGCACAACGCCATCGTTGGCTACTGAGAAGAGCGGTTCTGGCAGCAGCGTCAGGCATGACGTGCTGTCGTCTGCGATGGAGCAGTGACAGTAAATCACCAAGGAAACATTCAGAATGCAATAACTGTATAACAGAATACAATGATTTAAACTAAAAAATTTCATGATTATACCAAAATATACTAAAAACTAAACAGAAACACTAGTATTTAAATTTTTAATTTATTTTTTAGAGTATTTATACATGAATCGCTAATTGGTATTGAAAGAAGCACACTAACCCTCCAATGCTTGAGAGAATGTGACGCCAAGCAGCAGAAGTTCAGAGGGCGTGGTGAGCACCAAAAGGTGTTCAATGTAAGGCTTGAACACACCAGGTTTGGGCTTGATAAGGGCAACAGCCAGAATGGTGTCTTGCAGGCCATCAAAATAAGCCAAGTCGCTCCTGCAATTATATTCACACTCATCACAAAAAATTTAGCTGAATGAATTTCTTGTTAGGACATCAATTTCAACATAATAATCTTTACCATGATTGATATGCACATTTTCCTGTTGTATTAGCATAGAAATGAACAAAGTACAGTAATGCTGCTCCATCCTCAAGTACATATTATGCAGCCAATACGTTCTGCCAATTGTCATGCAGAGCACAAGACAGCAAAATTAATTCCCAGGATATTTCTCAAGCATTGCCTGACACAACGGTACACCTAGCACATTGAAGTTTTCCTGATGGAAAATATACCATTTTCTGAAAATATTTCATTGTTTGAACTTTATAGCAATCAACTGAAAGTCACCTCAATAAACATTTCATCAAAGAAACTATAAAACTATGTCAAGGTTCATCAAATGTATGGACGTTTTAAGGTACTAGTATAAGAATGCTAGGCTGCAATGTGCTCTGAGCATGACAGAATATAAGCTTACCCATCTTTGTACATCCAGACATAGATGGCACTGTCGATGGTCAGCCATGCCCTACCAATCTCAGGGAAGAGCCCCATCATACAATTGCATTGCATGTCTGAACTACAAGGTCAAGGAGGAAATACCAGAGCAGAAGTTTATCATGAAAATTGTAATTACTGTAAAAGTACATAAATATCTGGGTTGGATTGACACTATACAGATTTATTTATACATATAGTACATAATGACAAGTTCAGAAATTTAGGCTATGAAAGCCACATAAGAATTCAACATGATAATTAACATATGTACCTGTCTACTTCAAGCCAATATAAATTGGAATGGCCAAAATTGCCCAAGAGGTAAAAAAAAAAAAAAAAAAAAAAAAAAATTGCAAGTGATAATGCATGAGTAAAGGATACGTTGAAAGTGGTGCAGTAGCTCTTTTGGCAGTGGAACTTTTCTCATAGTGTGGAGGTGACGCAAGGCAGCATTGGAGCTGCTAGACCCAGAGCCACATGGATAATCACTTTCACTAAGACCACTGACTGTAACCCCACCTGTAATAAAGGAAACTGATGTATAGTTATACGTTTTGTGGGAACTAATTTTGAGGCACTTGGCCATGAAGTGAGAGTGCAAGTGGGAGTCACTGGCAATGAAGAATTCTCAAAATTTATATTAGTTATTAAGGTCTTTATGCTAATGTATTTGAATTGCTCATTAAAACAAAAAGTTACTCTCCTTTTTGATATTTTTACGGGTTAGACATATTTTCATTTTTCCTCAAATTAACAAAAACATTAAATACATTTCATGTGCTAATAAAAAAGATCATGGATACCGAGAAAAGGAGCTCAATAAAAAAGGCATTTGGATGGTTTCAAGGTGGGAGAGTCCATCAATTAAACTGCTGATTCAAACTAAACACCAACAGAAAAATTTCCCAGAAAATAATCTGTTCAAAATGAAAATAAAAATCATCGAAATTCTCAAACTTAAAGCTGTTGCCACAAATAGAACTCCATTTCTGTTTTTAGTCATGTTGAAATATTATTGAATATAATGCTTCAGACAATCATGATAGCACAATTTTTATACAAATGTAAGGAACATAAAAGTAATTTATTTTGGATCATATACCATATTAGTATAAAGCTAGAATTAAATGATTAAACCTTTAGGCATGATCTGCAATTTGTCTGTGAGTGCAGGAAAACACGAGTCATAGGCAATGTGCTTCTCCAGCATGCGTCCAGCAGTGTCCAGGTCTGCAGCCTCCTCCTGCTGGCCAGCCATGATGCTGCTGTTCAGTGTGTTCTCCAACATCTGAAAATAACAATTGCAGTTCAATGCATGCCAAGGAAAAGCTACAATCAATAGGTTATTTCCAAAATTAGATAGTAAAACTGTAACATTATAAAGGTTTTAAAGAATTTTTATGTGCTGGATATGTTCTTAGAACTGTCTTTTTCTTGAACCGATTCTAGAAAACCACAGAACAAAGAATGCAATGCCTTTTCATCTGACTACTATTCCCATTTGGAGTCAAAAAATTTTTTTTGCATGATTTGTGTAATTTACTCTTCAAATAATCCCATGCTTCCAATAGATTACAATTTTTGATCAATATGGACAATGACAAATATTCAACATCAAATTGTCACTGTCCAGCAGGCATCTTATATTGAAAAAAATTTCTATTACTAGTTGATTCAAAGTTGAAATACATATGACCAACACTCAAAGCATATTTAAACCAAACTTATATCAACATCAATGTAACATCAACATCAACAATAGCATGCTAACAAATTTTGTCTTGGACACACAGTACTAGTCATTTTGTACTGGTAAGCTAAAATACAATTGCCTAATACGACAATAATTTTTTTAAGCATGTTATCTAAATTCTATATATACAAGTCCCTGAATATCTAATATGAGTCAAAATTTGAAACAATTGTGCATCTGTGTTTCATACAGTGTAACCAGGTCAATCCAATTTGTCGACTATAATTCGCTTACAGGGTGTATTTACAAACCATAATGATTTCAAGTCTAATAGATATACAATTTTATCAATTATTCAACTCCAGTTTGAGGAGCTGATTGTTCCATATTCCAAGGGCATATTTCATACGGGTGGTATAACCCCACGAGTGAGTTGTGCCGCTGCTGCTGCACATAACGTGTTACATGCTTACTCAAGATGCACATGCATTTTTTTCAAATCTTTGACAAATTGAAACATAAGATGACAATGGGCAGTTTGAATGGTAAACTCTTGATCAACTTACTGCATGACATTTAAATGACCAAAATAAAAATTTCTCACAAGTTTTTTATAGATTTTATATGAAAAGTCAAGTATTATTGTCTTTCATGTGGTATGTATTTATTTCTTTATTTTTAGACAAGAAAAAATTTCTTCACATTGATTCTGAGGGTATAACAAAAAGTGTGATTTAAATGGGAAGCTAACAACTTAGCACACAAATTCATCAATTAAAAATTATTTTCTGTACCCACTAGATTGGAAATAAGGTAAATGGCTCAAAACATTACTAACCTTGCCAGGTTTCATAGCATGGCACAAGAGTCATTGTAATAGTATCTCAATGGTCACCAAATTGGCAAGTATCCACATGCCCATTGTTAGTTAGTAGGCTTTCCAGTTGTTAGTAAGTTATCCAGTAGCTTGGTACGGTAACTCAACTATTCAGATACCAGATAATAAAACCTTAAGGGAGAATGGCTTGGTGAAAAATAGAAAATGTTTGACTTTTTAGTTTTGTTCTGAATCTATAGCTTCAAATCTGGCGCATCTAATGGTGTAATTGGCATGTATATGCGTGCATCACTTTGTACACTATGTTGATTTTAGTACATGACAATTGGTTGATTTTAGTACATGAACTGTTTAGTTTTTTGGCTTCTTGAAAATAAAATTTTTTATTTTTTATCCACTTTAAAACTTTTTAATTATAACTACTACAGTATTCAAGCTACAGCAATGAACAACATACCATTCAATTTGTAAAGGCCATACCTAGAGATCCTAGGTGCCATTTTCAGCGCATTTTCTCATTTATGGAAAAAAGGTGCTATTGTGCTTGTCATGTCCATCCATCTGTCCATCCGTCCGTGACCACGTTTTCATTGACGGGAAAATGCGCTGTCACTCACTGCAGTGAGTAGCGAGTTATATTTTTTGGATTTGTGCATGGTGTGACTCAAGTTGTATATAGAGGGGAGTGGGGCATGGCAGGGAAACATGTATAAAAATGAAAAAAAAAACTCACAAAAGAAAAACGATGAGGAAAATAAAAAATTGGGGCTATAGAGCCCCTAGATAATTTTGTTACAAATCAAATGCAATTTGTCTTGATATTGTAGCATGTGACTTGCGAAAGTTATAAATTTTCAAAGTACTCCTCCTTTCTGCTGTTTTCCATTAATTTCATGTCTTCTTTCATTTTTTTAAGTCATATGAGCAAATTATCTTTAATTTTACTTTTTACTTGTTTGTGAAATTTCAGAAAGATTGGTTTTTGAATGTAGAAGTTTTTATGGGACCAAGCCAGTCTCCTTGAAGGGACCATCTTTGATCAACAGCAAATTATTAAATAAACATTTTGAATGGATTCCAAAGAATATATGAAATCTGACTACTACTGGGTGTGGGTTACTAGTAACTAGGTAAGTAAGTTATTGTAAGTAGTAACCATGATTGTAACAAATTTTGTTTGGTAACACAGCTGTTATTACTGGAATAATTTTTGTGATACAAAGCCTTTGTTTCAATTAAATTTACATTCCACCCAGACCCAGTCAGCCATCAGGCCTGTGTGAGTGGTGCTGAGTGAGTGAGTTTGCACATCTATTCTTGCTTTGCCTCATTTTAGCAACTGCATTTTCCTGATGATTCATTAATACCGGTACTTATTAATCATTTAATGATAATAGACATTGAGAATCATTGATTTTATTCAAGAGAGAAGCTAGAAGCAGAACAGAAGATTGAAGGAATCATTATAAATTCATTCATTCATTTGAATCATATATTGAAACAAAATAGTAAGGTTTGTCAGTTTGTGGTCTATAAATTTATTACTTGCAATACTTGGTGGCCATACTCGTGATACTGCAGTAGTACCATTATGAATTGATGAATTATGATTGGAAATTGGCTATCTCTTACAGCCTTACAGGCATCAAACTTTTCTGTCAATGCTAGCAGAGCTGGGCAGCATTACTTTGAAATGTAGCAGCGCTACCGCTACATGCTCTAAATGTAGCGGGCCCTACCGCTCCTGCTACACCCACTGGATTGCAGCGGGCGCTACCGCTACCATAAAATGTAGCGCCGCTACATTAGCTGCTACAATAGCCAAAATTATTGGAAATCTCTAAATATTTATTGTTCTGCTATTGGGATTTACTCATAAACATTTAATGCTAATAAAACATTTTCAAAACATATCAATGCAACTTTATTGCAATAGGCCTAACCAAAATAGTACAGGTTAGATGCAGTAAATAAAAGTTAGTTATTTCCATGTTTTACCTTCCCTACATGGATGTCTACTTTATTACCAATCTCAAAAATTTTCCACATATACATATAAAAATCGGTCTTTTATTTGAATATACATGTGGATAATTTTTGAGATTGGTAAGATTAACACATTGACTCCAAAGTGGTACATATGCATACCACAATATGTATTTGTCCAGGACGTAGTGGAACATATATCATTAGTCTGCTTATATCGCAAGTTCACAAGGAATTCCTGTTTATTTCGATATAATGTTAGGTCTTGTTTAGGTTTTATGTCTATCTTTGAATTTTGACTTTTAAAGTGATTTTATTCATTTTTAGTTTAGTCGAACTGATGATGGTAGTGGAACATAATTCAGGTCGCCTGAAATCAGTGTGGAATTCTGTATAGGTAATATATTCTCATGTCAATATAAAAAAAACGTATCGAAAAATCAACCCTACCAGGCTACCACCGTGTTACACCACTTTCCACTGCAATGAAAATTGATAAACTGAGCACATTGGAAACTGCCGCACTTCCGAAATCGCACATGGTTCGACATCCAATCCTGTGTTGGCAACGCCTCAATCAAGTTAACTAGTCGTCTATCTGTAGGGAAGTAGACAAATTTTTGCAATGAATAGGTTCTAAAATAAAAAAAAACATCCAAGTTTGTAAAAAATTCTCATGATTGGACCAGACCAACAAAGTTTTCAATTTCACACAAAATTATGAGATAAACTTCACTTTTTCACTGCGTACATTCACATCATACTTCCTATGTTTACGTAATTACAGGACGCCGTCACACATGCTTTTGTTTGGTTGTGTCTTGTTTGATTTCACAATAAATAGATTTGATTCACATTCCATTCTGAGATTTAAATGATTGAAAGTTTTTTTGAATTATAAAAACCCATTTATACGTTCCAGATTTGAATTATTTTCATTATTTGCCCTATTATGTTGAATTTATCTTGATAAATTCACTTCAAATTCTGACTGATTTCGTCTGCCATCACGCGTTTTCGAACGTTTTGTGTCTTTTAGAAAATTTTTGTTGTTTAACATGGGAAACTATTTCATTATATAAAACATAGAGCACGTACCTTATAGTGCATTAATAATACAATTTAATTTAATAAAAATCAATGTTTAATTTAAAAAATATAATCAAGTTTTTAATTCAATATTTTTCTAATAGAATTTTATTCTATAGCATGTACCATCTAGTGTACCGTAAAATGGGGTAACTTAGACCACTTTTTTTTATAAATGATGCCATTTTTTTACTAGCTAAATGAAACTTGAATTGAAACGTGCAAAATACAGGTCTATACTCTAGCTTCACTCACCATAAATTGCTGGCTCCTGCCTCTCATAGTCTTTATGTAATATCAAAAAAAGTGATGGTCTTTGTTACCCCAGCTCTTGGGGTAACTTAGACCAGGTGGTAAAATCAATTATATTTTTTGGTAAAATAACTCCAAATAACTCCAAGTTTTGGTGCATTGTAGTAGAACTCTTCTAGTTACATATGCAAATGACAAACTTGAAGAAAGTGTCATAGTTTGCAAATGGGGGGTGCCGCCCCATAATGAGGGAAATGTGACTACCTAATGGCAGCCCTGATGGAATAATATTGACTGGCTTGGAAATTAAGTTAAAATTACCATATATAAGACTCTGTAGAGTCTGAAACATAAAGAAAAAACATAAATAGGCTGTCAAACATAAAATATGTTATATATGGTAATTTTATATTAACTTCCAAGCCGGTCT